TTGTTTGGATTGTTGAAAAGTATTTTTGTGAATTTTTTCAGATTTTTTAATTGCTTCAGGCCTTCAGAAAAAATATAGATAGAAAATGGACGTTTATACCGGAAGTGGGGGGTAGGAGGGGGGAGGGGGTCTAAAATTTTGGTTTTGGGTCTTTTTTACCATGTACTATAACATACCAAAAGCGCGTCAAGATCGGTGACATACGAGCGCAGGTTTATTTAAAAAATTCTGAGCCTTACCCACATATATATTGTATTATCATAGGCGTCGCGCGTGCCTTCCCCCAATATCAACAATGCTTCTTCTTTGGCAAAAATCGAAGAAGGCGGCCGCGGGGGAAAAACGAGGGATGCGGGGAAGAATCTAGAATTCGGGGCACGTAAAAAAAAAAACGGACGATTCGGGCGATGTGCGTATACGCAGTAGGGAATCGATCGACGACGCCGTATAAACCCATGGAGAAAAAAATAGCGGCGTTTCTCGTCAGCTGTGACACGCGCGTATATTTTTGCGCACAAAAAAAAGGTGGCAACTGGTATCTCGTGTACCTCTACACACACACACACACGAATACACGCGTCAAGTGCGCACACATACTCACGGGCGCGCGTAATACGCTGGCACGGCTACGCTCTCCCTCACCTGCCGCGCGTTATATGTGCTTACATATTCCAGCCGTATATACTGCTCTCGAAAATGTTATAATCTCTATCTCTCTCGCTCTCTTTCTTTCGAAACGTATAAGCAGCGGCAGCGGCCTGCCTGCCTGCCGAGCTGTGCAAAAGTCTGCGGCGTCGAGCTTCATCGACTCGATTACACTGTCAGTCGAGCTGCGTACTTGGAACACGGCGCGCATTATATACGTTTAATACGTACACATACCACGTGCTGCTGCCGCGAGCTGCAACCGTCCGTACGCTTAATGTACACTTAATCTCGCGCGAATAACACGACGACACGCATTGCTGATAAAGCCTCCCGACGACGACGACTCGAGTCTGTTCCGTGGCTTTTCCTCGTTTTTTTCGAGTAAAAGAAGAAACAACTGTGTCAGTCAGTGACGTGCTTCCACACGCGCAATAAACAGATACACGTTCAACCATGGACAAGTTTCAGCTTCCGTTGAGCTCGAAATGCATCAAGTACCTGCTGTTCACCTTCAACCTCTTGTTCCTGGTGAGTAAATTGTGAGAGAAAAAAAATCGAGTCCGAGTGTCGCGCGTGCAACGAGACGAGCTGCTTCGCTTGTTCGCTCCGTATGTCGTGGCAATTGTCGGCCCGCGCGACACCTCCAGCTGCAGTCTGTGGATAACGCGCACCCAATCTTGCGGCTGCTCGCGCAATATGCCGATTTCTCGCGAATCTGCCGGCTGTCGCGAGCGCCTAACTTCTTGTGCCTATATACACCTCTCAACGTTCTTCTAAATTTATTACGATCTTTGACGCGAGACCGACATATTTCTTTGATAAATCGATTGCTCGATTATCGAATCCAACTTGCCAGTCGCGATTGATCGACCTGCCAATGTATAAACGCGTTCGCCGCGAGTATCGGTATGTTGTTGTGCGAGCTCGCGCCAGTCGCGACGACGATGAGTCGACGAGCTATATATGTAATCATATTACACACTCGTTATAGGACTGATAAAGTCCGAGTTGGCTCTTTTCACGTCAATAACAGCACATACACGTGTTTCCCGTTCGCTTCGAGAACTCGCTTACACACTGAAGCTTTTATTTGTCCAAGGAGCATCAAGCAAAGTGCGTCTCTGGATTGACTTGGCAACGAGGATGCTCCAAGACATTAACTGTGAATTCGAAACAAGCAAAATTTTATGATAATTTAAGTTGCCCGACGCGGGTGTATAGGCTGAAATACGGTTAAATACTTGAAACAGCAGGCGTTTCTTTTGCAAATAAAGGACATTGAGTTACCACGTGTAACAATAAATCTAAGTGTTCTCGATCGGCTATATTTATCTTTGAGCGCACACTCGATGGTATAATCAAGATATGCTCGTCGTGCTTGCTATTTAAAAATCATTTTTCTTTTGACGAGCGATTGTGTACATTTAATAATATATCGTTCAATTGAGTAATTATTTTTACATTATTACGAACCGTAAAAGTTCACGACAATCATAAACGTATTTATTCGACACTTGTAGAATAATTTTTGTCACAGAGGTTAAATTTTCTTTCGAAATCGATGAATTTCAAAAACAATTCCGTCTTGTACTCGGTCACGCTTGTATAATTAATATAAATGAACAGAATCATATCAAATTTAATGGGCCCAAGTGTTAAAAAAATTTGAAACATGCCTCATCTTGAATATATCACGAGAGAATAAAATGATATATGTAACCTTAGACATCTTCGAATTTTATCGAATTTTTTGAGACGCCAGTATTCATTCATGACTTCTATTTTTGAACCTATCTTGGTTGACGTGATTCGGCCCATACAACCACATGTCGATGAATACATACCTACTTAGATATATTTTTCAACTAAATCGTTTGCCAACAACCAATGTTATCGCAAGGCTGTACACGCACATATAGTAAACGATAACATGTAAAAAAGCATGCATAACTTGTTCTGCTTCTGAACTGTGCGCAGAGAAAATATTTTAAAATCGTGACATTGTAATCACATGTTGGCAAAATTTAGCTTTAACTTAAATACTCCAACATATGAGAAAAATCTAAGCCAATGTTAATGACTAATATGTATTTTTTTTACTTCGATTCAATCGCGACACTACTTATAGGTTTTTTGTTCGAAAAGTAACAGTATATTGCATTGCTAGTGCAGAAATATCAAAATGGAGAAAATACTAGTTTTATAATGATGCACAAATCGCTGGTTCCACCAAACTTTAATTTATAAAATTTAATAAAGAAATTTGGTTGTAAAATGTTTTTTAATTTTCAACAAAAATTTTTAAAAAGTCTATAAAAAATTGAAGTTAAAATATACTTTATCACCATTTTTGTTAAAGAAATTGATCTGCACAAATACTTCCCATGAATCTGTAAAAATGCAACGTTCAAAATTAATCATGTTAGGATCTATAATATTTATTTTTAAAATTGTAATATGGTCGTATCGTTCTTCGTTGTCAGTTCATTGAAAAAAAAAATCGAAAAAAAATTCGCTGCGGACAGGATTCGAACCTGTGCGGGTAGAACCCAATGGATTTCAAGTCCATCTCCTTAACCGCTCGGACACCGCAGCTCGTTGAAAGCAGAGACATTTGTTCACAATTTGAGAAAGTCTTATCAAGCTGTGTAATTAAGAGAATTGAGAATCTATATTTTAAGGCATTTCAAGTGATAATTGAAAGATTAAGACTAAGATAATTTAATTATCTACAAAAAAATTTTTTTCGGATGTTTGAAAGGTTAAAATTACATTAAACTTAAGCAATATTTATGCAGATTTTTAATTTTATGCCTCGATTTATTATAAATTGCCTTAAAAAATATTTTATATGGGTAAATTCAATATCGATTAACTGATTATTAAAATAGATAATAATGCTTCAACATGAGTTAGTAATAAGATATTAATGCAAAAGAATAAATGAGTTTTGATTTAAAAAATGCCATAAGTTTTTTTGAAATAATACATTTTGACCATGATTAATGATATTCCTATAGAATGTCTTGAAAAAAAGTATGTACTTCAGGGCAATATGGTCTAAACAAATTATTATTTTATGATATGGTATTCCCCACTTTTGAAGATACCAAAACCGAAATAAAAATAGCAATTTTAAGACGTATTTCTAAGCGGCTCTAAAAAGAACTTCGTTTAATTTTCATACTGGCATCATAACATTTCAGAAAAAAATTTAGTCTTCTAAGTAATTTCATCAGTAATATTAAATCATTTTTATAGTTGAGATATAATACAATTTTTTACAAATTTTCCCTTTGCTTTATTTTCAGTTATCGGGAATCATTATGTTGATTATTGGATCGGCCATTCTATCCATGTACCATGAGTATCAACACTTCTTAGACAACAGGTTTTTCTCAGTACCATCACTTCTCATAGCGATTGGTTCAATCATTTTCTTCATTGCTTTCTTCGGTTGCTGTGGAGCAATCAAGGAAAATTATTGCATGATCATAGTGGTAAGTAAAAAAATGAGTTTTAGAAGTATAAGAAAAATATACAAAGCGAACCCTCTTTAACCAAGACTTTTATTAGTTTGCAGCTCTCATGGTCATTGTATTCGTAATGGAATTCGCAGCCGGTATCACTGGTTACGTTATGAGAAATAGCGTTGGAGAAGCGCTACAATCAAAAATGATTGATACTACTAATAGGTACAATACAAGCGGAGAAATCCGACAAGTTTGGGACCTTATCCAGAGAGATGTAAGATATTTACTTTATTTGCGCATTGAAGAGATGCTGAAGTGAAGGGAAATATGAAAATGTTTAAATCCGTTACTAAAGTTCATACCGAGTATTTTTATTTAATGGATTTCAAATTAGCTAATTGAAACTAAAGCAAACATCTTAGTAGAACTGTTAAAAAACATTAAGCTATAGTCTCAGAAAAACGGATTAAAAATTTTTGTCTTTCCAAAGGTTTCGGTATTCTCTTTCACATTTTTGTCAGCAATGAATTAAAATGCACAATCAAATTTGTATAGTTCCGATGCTATGGTGTGAATAGACCGGAAGATTGGGAAGCAAAGATCAGTAATAAAACTGAACGTGCTCACGATTTACCGCTAACGTGCTGCAAACCTGGCGTTGTCGGAGCATGTCAACTAAATGGAACCTTAGATTATGATTTCTCCACAAATGACAATCTTACTTACTGGAACGTAGGATGCATCGAATCGATGACTGGTTTTGCTAAGGAGCACGCCTTACAACTTGGAGGCGCTGGTTTAGGTTTAGCTTTTGTTCAGGTAGGATTAAAAAATACTATGATCTCAGAAAATATTGGGTAAGATTATTTTATCAATCATATTAATTTTTTCATACTTTTTCAGGCTGTTGGAATTTGGTTTGCAATTTATTTAGCAAAAGCAATTAAAAGGAACTATCATGGAATGCCCTAATCAGTAAATTTTCGTGAAAACGAGCAAAAAATAATCAAAAAGCAAATAAATTAGTACTCGTTCATTTTAATGAATGATATGTACTTTTCATATTCTCCGCGAATTTACGTTGTGTAAAAGATGTTGAACATTTTTTTTATTTTTGTTATTTCTTTATTCTATTGTAAAATAGTCACTTCGCATTGCATTCAAGTGCATGAAAACACTTGAGCTTCCAATTATGACTTATTCAATAAAAATTTTATGAATCAATACCATTCAAACAGTAATGTTAATGTTCAACAAGTTGAACATTTACTAGATTTTCGAATTCAAAGTAGATTAAGATTACTTACTCATTTGTACAATCAATCAAGTCTTATAAAACCGTTTTGATTATTCCTGCGTATTTATGAATCGTCTGTAAATAGCGATGAATTTTAATTTAAATGTTATAGACTTAATCCATGTGTATAAATGTATTTCCGAATATATTAGTGTTTTTTTTCAAAATATTTGCCTGATGCCATTTATATTTTAATATCCGAGTAAGTGATGAGTTCATAAATTATTATTCGGATTTTATCTTGTAATTTCTAGTATAAGTTAATTAAGGTTTGATGCCACGCACTGCACTTGTTTTTTTTATTTTTCAAGTAAATATGCGTGGGTTCGTAAAAGTTTTATGTTTATGTTCTTATACACATATTCTGTATAACAATCATTTGATAATTGGAAGTTTATGAATTAATACATTCGTATTTTTCTTTCAATAAATTTTTCAATTTTATTTTCCAAAGAACCGTGATGACCAATTATAGATCATAAAACACATTATTTTACCTCGATCTGAACTATTTTGAGTTGGTCCTTCGTGTGAATATTAAAGGATCATTTTTAAGGTCACTTAATTTTTGTTTACATTGACAATTAAGAACCCATTGATGAAAAATATTTAAATTATGCTGAGTTGATGTATCAACTATTTGAAGTTTTTTCATGCGGAATAATTATGACCTGAATATCGATATAGTATGTATTAATTATACCTCCGTACTGTATGTATTAATTATATAGAACAACTACGAATTCTAAGCGCATGATAATTAGTTTTCATCTCTCAACTTCTATAAACGTAACATTATATTTTTCTGAACATACCAAAAAGTTTCGAGAACTCGTGTGTGGATCGATAAGTATTGCCTTGAAAAAAAATCAACTCACACGTGTACTGTAATTTTGTATGTATTTTGAGTCACGACTTCCGAATTCTAAATTTCAAAAGAAAAATTAAAATCTTCTTGAGAAATATGAAAAAAAGACGAGATGAACTACAGATACCAGGCTGGTAAAAAATAAAACTATTTTGTGATGAATGGTAAAGTATATCAAGCCTTGGTTTTTCTAAGTACATAAATAATATTGACTTTTATTATATATTGAGTTTCCTTTCCATACAAAGATGCATTTTCACATTTAATTAATGAAAAAAAATCATTATAAATGTTTCGATAGGGTCTGTTTTTGGTATTGTAATTTGCTGTACAATAGAGCGATTTTTACCGCATAATTAGTTCATGATAAAAAAAGAAAATTACAAATATTTTTGGATGATGGGTAAAAACTTACGGAAGTATACTAGTATACTATAGTAACAAAATTTTTGATGCACGCGTGTGCATCATCCAAAAAAGTCACGATACAGCGCAACTGCAGACACCTGTGACAAGGCGGCCTCTACAGGCCCGGTACAGAGGCAGCGCGACACACAGACACAATGTCCACAGAGTAGAGCCGGCACGACTCGAGCCTAACAGAGAGAGACTCGCCAGTAATAGTAGTGTGTCGAGACCGCGCGTACGCAGCAGACCAGTTTGAATCGGCCGATCCAGCGTCGTCGCTGCCATCAAGCGGTCGAGGAAAATCCTATACCGATTTCAATTGTTCGCCAGTTATCAGTTGCCCGTGAAAATCAACGTGACATCCTATACAGAATGGCACAATCCAACGTGGAACCTTGGGGCTTGAGCCTTGGCTGTATCAAGACTTTGATCGTCCTCGTGAACATTCTGTTTGTGGTACGTATTCAAAAGTGCTAGGTTTTTCTCGGTAGCGCGTGTTTTTTCGTACACGTTCTGATCTCGTAGCGACGCGTCGAAAGAAAAGCTATAATTGTCGGTCGATGGTTGATAGAGCTCATCTGTGTGGAGAATTTTCTACGTTGAAGCTTTTTTAAGAGACGCGTTACACTTTTTTTCATGCTCGACTCGACAGATTGAGCCATTGTTTACTTGCTCACCGCGATAACGCTTCAAACAGCGTGACTATCTCACGCCTCGGTAGGTTTTTGTTTTTTATGCAACGATTTTGGAGATTTCGAGACTAGACAGTCGGCTCGCGTTCATCGCATCATTTTTTATATATAAACACACACTCGATCAGTGGGGTAAAACGCATAAACCCCGGCTGGGTAAATACGTCATAAAATTGTTTTCCGCCGATGTAACAGGTCTACAATGGTACTCTGTGGCAAGCTCTGGTAACAACATTATCGGCGCGCGAGAATTACGCATCAGCGAATTCACGATTTTCGATAAGATATTTAGACTCTTTTTGTCATCAAATATTATCATTCGATCTCGCTATATATATCGCTGACTTTCATAATACAGACGCGTTAGGCACACGCGTCACGTCGGTATCCCAACGTGCGCGACGTCTGCTATGTTATACTCTGTATGTGTAAGCGAGATGGCCAATCACACTGTCACGCGCCGACAATGAGAGACGCCGTCGACTGATCTCGCGCCTCTTCCGATTTTGACATTTACATTGTGCCTAACAGCAGAAAGCAGAACAACGGGTTACGATCACACCTACGCTAATATACCGAGAGAGAGAGAATATATGTCAGAACGCATCTCGTCTTCGCGTTGAATCACGTGGCCCCTTGGACGGAAATGTGTTTGTCTAATTAACACGAGGTTATTCCTATGAGTAGTTCCCCTTGGACGTTTTTCGGGAAAATTATTCGACCACGTATTCCATGTAAAAAAATCGACTTATTTTTACTTGGAAGCACAAAAGCTTTGTTTCGATGATCTCGAGCATTCAAAATACCCAAAGCGCATTAGAAATTTTTACTTTCTCTGAGATGATTGCCCTGGGAACCACTTTCATTGTTACTTCTTGAATGAGAATTCAAAGTTCATTCATTGCTTTTCACCTATTTTAAGAAAAATAATTTTTAATACTGCATTTTCTTTCATTTTTAGACAGCAGTAGCTGAATGGCATTTTTCGAAATTTCGTTTTCTCTTAAATAATTTTGAATAGCTTTTATAAATTTAAGACAATCAATTAAAAAGTAAAATCTTCATGCCTTGTATAAAGCATTTAATTGCATTTTCTAAGCAGATGCTTTTTTTATATGAATCAAAGACTGCAGATATAAATTCTGTTTGATTTTCACCACTTGTGTCATACGACTAAATCAGTGATAGATTTTCAAAGAACTTCAACATTTTAATAGTGTTTTGAAACATAAAAATAAAAATTTAACGTGACATGAATTGTAGCGACGCATATACTATACATATTAGTCATATCGCGAAAAGGCAAGACAAAGTCGAATCTAAATCGCATAGGTGTGCAAGAATAAATAAAATCTTTACGAGTGTATGAGTAAACGCTATCAGTGATGTCAGTATATCGGAAAATTTTTTTCCGCTAGCTAATCCGTCACAAATGTATTCATACATCTATTTTAATATAAATTCAAAATTGTTTCGGAATTCTCGATGTGAGCTTTATAACAGCAAATTCTTTAAACAAAACTCACAGATCGTTTGGCATTTTTTTACTCGCAAAGACCTGTTTTTTATCGCAAACAAATTCTTATCTTTATCTTTATTATTATTACGTTTGTTTTAATTGGTAGCGCGTATACATGCAACGCATACGTATTTTCAAACACCAATATTTTGAATCGAACGTCAAAATACAAAAAGAGTCAAACTTTTTCTAATGAAAGTACGCCGGAATTTTTTTTCAATGCAATCGATGATAGATAATTGGTTTTCGACCAGTTCGAAGCTAGCACAAAAGCTATATCATGTGCGCACTAAGCTAGCACAAAGGCGATAAGAAACTTATTTATAGTAAGCGATGATTTGTTCTACAACGTGAAATTTTTTATAAAATAATCAGGAAATATCGTTCAATACAAAAAGGCGTGAATTTTTTTGTCAAACATATACGGATGTGGATACAGTGTTCAATGGTTACGTGAAAAAATTGAGATGATTAATTTTTGTTATTCTTGTTACAGATCACCGGCCTATTGATCATTTTGATTGGCTCTACCATTTATCGGATTTACGATGACTATGCGAGCGTTATGGACCCAGTTTTCTCCTCGCCGGGGACGATGTTGATAGTCGTCGGCTCCATCATTTTTGTAATTGCATTTTTGGGCTGCTGCGGCGCTTTGAAAGAGAGTACCTGCATGGTGTTGACGGTTAGTGTCACGTTTATTTATACGATCGAATCTATCGACCAATGTCACATGTACAATGTTTTCTAATGTTATTTTTCTTATCTGCAGTTTGCGGCTCTTTTGGCGACCACGTTGGTAGTCGAGATATCGGCTGGTATTACAGCTTTCGCACTCAAGGACAGGGTAACAGCTGCAGTGTCTCAGAATCTCAATCAGACGATCCATATGTATACATATGATGAGAAGGCAAGGATATCAATTGACCTCATACAAGAACAGGTAAGCACAATTACCAAAACTGATCACAACTGATTGGGAAATAAAATATAGTCCCCGAAATGCAAATCCTCGAAGTGAAAAACTGTTTTGTTAATGGAAATATTTAATTCTACAGTTGCGCTGCTGCGGTTTCGACGGCTACAACGATTGGGAGGAAATTCTTCAAAATACAAACAGCAGTGCCAAAGTACCGCAGTCGTGCTGCAGCATCAGACGTCACGCGGGACGCACGACTTACACCCCCTGCTCGAGAATTCACGCTCGCGGTTGCAACAAGAGCATGGAATTGGTCGTCAAGAACAGCGCTTATTACCTCACGACCGGCGCGGTAGTGCTCGCCTTGCTCCAGGTACTTTTATACGAAATTTTTCACCAATTCCAATATTAAGCGGAGCTTTTTCTAACTCGATGCATCCCTTCTTACTTTTTAGCTCGGCGGTATTTTGTTCGCCACCAAGCTCGGCAACATGATCAGAAAGCGAAAAACCGAGCGCGAGCAACGCAGATGGCAGATGCGCGAGAGCTTGCTCAGAGGATACCAACCAATTGGTAAAAGCGATTTGATCAGGACGCATCCAATCATTTATATGACAGCGAGCAATACTACTAGGAACTAAATAATAGTTGCTCAAACGAGTGTTCCGCGTGTTTTTCCCACAAAAATGTCGTTAAGCGTAGTTTGTATAATTAAACTTATTAGAAGGTTCAACTCATTTCATTTACTCACTTGATTCATGTGTAAAATATTCAAATATCCACGTATTTGATCAACCGACCAAATTAATATTTCAAAACGTTCAGATGATTCAAAATTGTTACAACGAATATATGCCTTAGTAACAGTTTTAATAGGTAATAGTTGTATGCTTGAAAAAAGGAACTGATCTAGTACTAATTAAGTATTATGAAAGAAATAAAAAAAACAGATTATATTTTCTATCAAACTTCATATTGATATTAAAATTTATTATAATCCTTTTTTTATATACATAAAAATATAATTTAACAACAAATAGCACAGCTAAGTGTATATATACATGTTTACATGAAAAGAAGTTAGAATTTCACCAAAATTTTAAGGCTCTGTTCAAAATTTCTGCAGCTTCAGCGTCACAGACACCATTTTCTTTTGGAAGATATGGTGATGTAAATTCTCGATAAGCTAAACAAACCCTGCGAGAACTAACATCCTCTCTTAATACTGCATGTTCCCATTTGTACCTAAAAACATAGCTTAGGTAAATTCTATACGCAAAGATAGTAGCATAGATAAAAGCATGAATAAATGCTGTATGTTTTTTGTCAAATATTATGTTTTATGCTTCCTAAATTTCTCCTTATGATACCAATTATAATTGTTTAATAAATTTTAAGAAAAGTGCAATAAAAATATCTTGTTTTTCTTTAGAAACAAATTGAGTAGCATGTAAATAAATTAATTACCTTGCAGCTCCTGTCAGAATCATTAAAGATCCTGCTGGCATTGGTAATCTAACGACAATGTCCTCTTCAGGCAATTTATATTCATCTAATTTTTCTACACACTTCAGATTATATCGATCATCAGATTTTCTGTAAGGCGTCATTGTTAATACAGAATTTCCCAATACATTGACTGTGACAATACGCTCTCCCCAAATCCAACAATCATCTATATGTGGATCTATTGAAGAACCTCTTTTTGGATCATATTCTAGACTGCACTGTTCGATTGTTTGAAACCCTTTCAATTCTGAAACTTTATTTAATTTCTCCTGAACGAATCGTGTTGTTTCTGGAAAGCCTTTGAAATGTCCTGGACGCAAACGTTTCTTTTTGAAATTTGTTTTAGGACCAAAATTCTAAAAATATTATGAGTAAACAATCAAAATACTGATAGAAATAATCTTATATAATTTGAAATCAATTACTCAAAACTTACCTGTTTTCTTCTTCCGCTTTGTGATAGATCCCATGGTAAAGAGTCTAACTCTTTTATCAAATTTTTTCTTTCGGTTTCATCTAGGAAATCTAACTGTAGAATAAAAAAGTTCAATAGAATAAAACAAGATAAACAATAAAAACAATAATAAAAAAATATTGAAACATATTTTACCTTAATGATTGTACCAGGAAATTCAATTGGAATACCAGAATGATTAGGATGCTGCTTGTATAAATTGATATCCCATCCTGGCCAAGCTTTGTTACACTCTGGACAATAAACATAACTAAGATATCTCTAAAAAAAAGAAAAATAAAGTATTAATAATACTTCTTCTTGATATTATTTTGAAACGCAAACAGATGAATTACATGAGCTGTCAAAAAAAATGTTCATTCTAACCTGCAAGTCGGCAGCTAAGTCTGGTTTTGAAATTGAAAATTCGTGTTCACAAATTAGACAGGTTCGAATTCCTTTGCAACCGCAAGGTCGTTCGGTTTCCATTTTTTCAAAATTAATTTTAACTAACTTGGAATAACAAAACTCCTATAAACAACAGGTTCTTTCAAAACCAATGCCTATAGAGTAAACATGCGCGCTACTACATGTGGCCGGCTTACGTACGGCTACAGTACAGGTTCTATATGCAATTTAATGCAACCATGTAACACAATCTTAAGCAATACGTGTTGTTTTTTAACACAATTATCACAACCCCACGGCTAGATAGAATTATGAATAATATTTTACGAGACTTCTTCACTTCTTTGTACAAAAGAATATTATATATTTATATTATTGTTCAAATAAATGTTTTATTTTAACGCAAAAATGTAAGAAATTATAAAGCGTTGCTATTATTTTAGCAAAAATTAGCCTCAGAATTTTGAATAATTTTCCAATTTATTGAAATTCGTTTAATTTATTGTAAATTTATAAATTAAACATAAATCATAATCTAATTTGAATTAATTTCTAATAATTTATACTAGCTGAAGCAGTCGAACCGGAAATGACGGATTTGATCATTCTTCCCCGACAGTCAGGCATGCATTTTCATACGTCATACTCTCATATTCATTATTTGTCTCTGACTTTGATAAAAAAATTTGTAATTGTTTCAGAAATCACATTTTAATATTCATTATTTCAAAATTTTACAAAAATCATTGTATAATAAAAAATATATTAAATATATCTGAGTAATTAATTAATACATTAGTAAGATCGCATTCTCATTTCATTCAAGCAAGCACGTTTGTATGGGAAATCAAAAACTTGTACAATACATTTTTTTCCAAATGTAACGAAAATTGATCTTTTTCATTAAAAAAAATTGTTTTTCAAGCAATAGTGGGCAGCTCGTGTTTTAGTAATAAATCTTAATAGCTGCATTAAGTTTGTTATAGTAGCACACGATTTTAATAAAGCAAAGCGTAATAAAGTAAGTCGAAATCAGTATCTAAGCGACACTTTTTGAACAACTTTCGTCGTTATTGAAGTATGAATTCGCGTATTTTGTTATATTGTTTGATTTTTATTGCACTCAACTATTCTAGGGCACAGAATGCAAACCAGGACCTTGAAGGTGATCAAGAAGGTACGTTGTATATTAGTTTTTCAGTAATATTTCGAGATAAGCTCAAGTTTAAAAGATAATCATTTATTTTAGATTCACCAAATTATGATGATTTTCTACCCAGTAAAGGATGGGTAAATACATATTAATATTTTTTAAAGAATTCTGATGCGATAAAATTATATTTAATATCACGTGTATCCTGCTATTATAAAATAAATATTTAATTATTAACCATTAAAGAGCGCATTTAATCGAAAACCAAATATCTCGATTTTTACAGCATAAAATTGCCATAATCCCTTTGCACCGCAAGCATTTGAAAAGGTTACCACCACAACTCAGAGATGTGATCAGTAAAGATGAAAAGTATAAGCATTATTTCAATGAAATGCCCAAAAATAAAACGGCAAAAACAAAAAAGAATGGAAAACCATCATATAAAGTTAATTCTATTAAAAGACCATTGGCTGGATACAAAAAGTAAACGATGAAACTTTGTTTTACATACTGAATCATTTTATGAAGCTAAATTAATTTAAAATATTTTTCAGGAAAAAAAAGACCCGGCCAGGATTTTTAATTTTGGGATTAAATAATTCTGATTGGACTGATGTCACACACGACTATCGCAAGAAAAAAAATAATCAAATAACTACCATAAACGACAGTAATAAAAAAGTCGTGAATAACGAAAGCAGCTCCCAACAATTACCTAGTCACGACGGTGGAGTTACATCCGAGCTATCTCAAACAGAACGAGTTAATTCGCAAACTGATTTGAATAATGGAAAAAAATTGAACCCAATTTCCGATAATAAAATCAAAACTGATTTTGCAAATTCGGAAAATGTGAGGAGGTGGAATGAGAATCAGAATAATTCTCGAACAGTCAGCAACAAAAATGGTTTTCGTACAGAAAAAAAATCTTACTATCACAGTAATCATACCAAAAGCAAAACTTTCGGATCTCAAGATAAAGTTAATATCCATCTATTCGTCAATGTAAAAATCTATAAATCAATTCAAACTGTTGAAATGTTTTATTTTTAGCTCCATTCGGGCAACAAAGGTACCAGTTATAAGGAAACGCACATTGCTGAAGAGAAACGTCAAAATAGTGATTACACTCAAAATTCCAAACATTTACCACAAAAAGAAGTGGGTTCTAGGGAAATAAATGAAAACAAAAAAGATCATTTACAAAACCGTCCATCTCTTCGACAAGCTCAAAATCAAGGATATGATAAAGAATTTGTAGTTCACACAAAATCGAGTAGTAAAAAAAGAATAGATAAAGATCGGAATGAACCGAAAGATCTGGAAAGTAAGAAAACATCCAACGACGAGGGAAATAGTCAAGATTCTACTTACGAAAAAAAGGAAAGATATTTTCAGTCAGGTAAAATAATACTTGTATTTCTCTCAGTAATCGAGAAATTATAACGAGAATACTTACAATAGTTTTAAAACATGTATTCTGTATCAGATTTATTCATACAATGAAAATTAATTGATTTTTCTAAATATTTAAATAGTAATAGTCAACAACCTTCAAGTAAAATAAAACAATTTTTTTTTAATAGGTGCTGACAACCAAAGTGAACGAAAAAATAATATCGATGAAGGTTCAAAAACTTTGAATTATGACGATGATCGAAAAGAAATTGTCTCAGAAAATTCGAATCAGGAAATTGATACAAAAGAGAAAAGTCAATTGCAAAATATTCCTGAAGAAGGAAATAACGCTGGAATACGACAAAGTTCAACATATACTGATAATTCTTATAATAACAGAGATTCTTCAATGCATGAATCAAGAAACAACAAAGAACAAGATAATAATTCAGAAAGCAGTAATCATAAGTCCCTAGTAGATTCTATGAACCAAAATGATGTCGAACATCTCAACGAAAAAAATCACGACTCCGAGCAATCAAACACTGCAGATTCTCGTACAGATCTGAAACCAACTATTGAAGAAGTTCCACCACATGAGGTTGACAATTTTCCAACTCAACCACAGAATGATCTGATAAACGAAAACGTTACCGGTGAACTAAATCAGGAATTAGAAAATAAGAACGTTGCTGCCGAAACACAAAATCTAGATGGTGAATCAAGTCACGATTTAGAAAATGACAATAGAGCAACAGCTGAGCAATACCAAAGTCTGGAAAATGAAAAAAATTCGGCTGAAATTCAGGTTGGCCATGAAAATGGGAAACTAGCCGGTGAATACAATCAATATGGCTCAGGAAATGAAAACTTGGCCGCTGAATTACAAGAGCAGGGACATAAAAATGATATCGATGAATCAAACCACCACTTAGAAAATGAAAATACAGTGGTTGAACAACAACAAGGTCTGGAAAATGAAAAAAGTGCAGCTGAAACACGAAATAACTTGATTAATAATTTGGAATCTGAATCACCCAATGAGTCAGAAAATAAACGTGAAAGTATACCGCCAGTCCTCGACATAGAAAATGAAATTCCTTCAACTGAAACACAAAATGGATTAGAAAAAGGAAACGTTGCTTCTGAATCACAGGATAGTCTTAAAAATAAAAATTTGGGAGTTGAGACACAAAAAAGCCAAGAAAGTGATAACCTGGTCGCTGAATCACAAGGATTGGGAGATGCAAATTATGTTGGTGAATCAAACCACGATTTAGAACATGGAAATGAAAAATTTGAACCACCCAATGATATGGAAAAAGAAAAAAATTCGTCTGAAACAGAAAATGGCTTCGAAAATGCAAACGAATTACTCGATGAGTCGGGAAGGAAAAATTTAGAAAACGATCAACACCCTGACCTAGAAAATGAGAATTTGACTGCTGAATCGAAACATGAATTAGAAAATAAAAATCTTGCCAGTGAAGCAAACCACGATTTAGAAAATAAAGAAGTTGAGCCACTCCATGATCTAGAAAATGAAAAAAATTCAGCTGAAACTCAAAATGAACTTGATAATACAAACGTTTCTGGCGAATCCAATCATGATTTAGAAAATGGTAACGTTGCTACCGAAACACAGCATGACTTCGAAAATAATAATGTGGCAGGTGAGTCACAAGATAATTTGGGAAATGATAATCTTGTTGGTGAATCGAATCACAACTTAGAAAATGAAAAAGGAGTGGACGAAACACAAACCGGTCTAGCAGATGAATTACACAAAGAGTTAGAAAATAAAAATTTAGAAAATGAAGCACAACAGGAGCTAGAAAATGAAAACCTTCCGACCGAAACACAAAATAGCCAGGAAAATGAACATACCGAAGCTGAACCACGAGATGAGTTAGAAAATGGTAAAGATGCGTCTGAAACACACGGTAGCCTTGGAAATGGAAACGTTGTAGATGAATTACCCAATGAGTTGGAAAATAAAAATTTAGAAAATGAACCACATCAGGAACTAGAAAATGAAAACCTTCCGACTGAAACACAAAATAGCCAGGAAAATGACCATACCGAAGCTGAACCACGAGATGAGTTAGAAAATGGTAAAGATGCGTCTGAAACACACGGTAGCCTTGGAAATGGAAACGTTGTAGATGAATTACCCAATGAGTTGGAAAATAAAAATTTAGAAAATGAACCACATCAGGAACTAGAAAATGAAAACCTTCCGACTGAAACACAAAATAGCCAGGAAAATGAACATACCGAAGCTGAACCACGAGATGAGTTAGAAAATGGTAAAGATGCGTCTGAAACACACGGTAGCCTTGAAAATGGAAACTTTGTAGTCAACAGACAGGATAGCCAGAAAAACGAAAATGCCGCAGATAAATTACACAATGAGTTAGAAAATATAAATGAAAATGAACCACACCAGGAACTAGAAAACGAAAACATAGAAGGTGAACCACGAAATGAGCTGGAAAATGATCCAGGAGCGGTTGAAACACACGATGGTCTTGAAAATGAAAACGTTGCAGCAAACCCACATGATGACCAGAAAAACGAAAATGCCGCAGATGAATTACACAATGAGTTAGAAAATATAAATGAAAGTGAATCGCGTCATGACCTAGGAAATGATAACCAGCCAAGTGAAACACGATATGGCCTTGAAAATGGGAACGTTGGATCCTATCCTCAGGGTGGCCTCGAAAATGAAAATTCAGACGCTGAATCACACAATGAGTTAGAAAATATGACTGAAAGTAAACCGCGCCATGACTCAGAAAATAAAAACCTTCCCACTGAAATACAAGATGGCCTGGAAAATGGAAACGCGGCAGACAAAACACAGCATAGTCTTGGACATGAAAATTTAGAAGCAGAGACACAAAAAAATTTGGAAAATGAAAATTTGGCTGCTGACATGATGGGAAATGAAAATTTTGTGGATGAATCACTTAATGGGTTGGGAAATGAAAACCTCATTGGTGACTCAAACCATGATGCAGAACATGAAGTTGAATCACTCCAAGATCTGGAAAATGAAAAAAGTGAATTGAACCGTGACTTAGGGAATGAAGATAGGGCAACTGAAACACGAAATGATCTTGAAAATGAAAATTTTGCAGGTGAATCACAGAATGAGTTGGGCAATACAAATTTGGAAAATGAACCACACCTTGACTTAGAAAATAAAATCCTCCCTACAGAATCACTTGATAACCGAGGAAATGGAATCTTAGTGTCTGAGCCACAAGCTGAGTTAGAAAATGAAAATAGAGCAGCCGAACCACGACATGATTGGGAAAATGGAAACCGGTCAGAGACAGATAAGTTTGAAAGTAACAATGAACCAATACATCGTCTGGAAAATAACAATAATGTGGCTGAACCACAACAAGGCGTAGAACATGAAAACCTTGCAGGCAAATCTCAAAATGAACAGGAAAATGAGAACGCCGTTATTGAACAACTAGATAAGCTAGAAAATGAAAACATCACAACTGCACCGCAAGAAGACTTAGAAAATAGAAATCTTGAATCTCACATTGACCTGCAAAATGGAAAAGTTTCCACTGAACCACTAGACCATCTGGAAAATGATAATGTTGCGAATGAATCACTTAATGACCTAGGAAATAAAAATCTTGTGCCAGAACAATTAGACGGACAAGCAAGTGACTACACTATAGCTGAATCGCAAAATCAACCGCAAAATGAACTGGGAAATGAGAATATCGTAGCTGAACCACAAGACGTCCTGGATAATGAAAACCTCGAAGTTCATCCACAAAATGGATTGGGATATGAAAATGTGCCAGATGAATCACACGATAACTTAGAAAATGGAAATGTTCCTGCAGAACAAGTAAATCCAGATAATGGACATATTGCAGTTGAACAGGAACAAAATCTGGAAAATGAAAATGGGAATGCTCAAGTTAATCCTGAATACAAAGACGTTAATTCTCCAGAGGGAAAGTTCCGTGACGCGCTAATTGATCACTCAAATCAGAATGTCGATCGACTGCCAGTTAATCAAGATTATCCATTCACAGATTTAGGATCGGAAAATCTAGATAAAAATACTGAAATAGAGAGTAAATTTGATAGACCATACTTGGATAACTCAAATGAAAATCTTGAGCAAACCCATGGTGATAATGAATATTCACAGTCAGATACTAATCAATTGATCGGTTCTGATAAACCTAATTATCTCGAAGGTAATTCTGAAGGATCTGTAAGTGATTTAAACAAATATTACGATGAATACCCATCTGTAAAAACAAATACCTTAGAGTCAGAAAATAAAGGGAAATTGGTTCCAGATGTAAACGATTTAAATGATTATAATGATTTAAATCATAATGTTGATAAGCATGAATCAATCGAAGATACTCTCATTCCGAGTGGACACGATAATTTAAATCCATCAGAAGTGGAGAAAATTTCTGATAAACTTGTTGATTTGGATTCTGATACGATGAATAAGCAAATTAATGTTGAAACACAACCACAAGATTTTTCAAATGAAAATATTACAAATGAGGGGGAAAATATCCAAGATAAAATAGAAGACTCGCTATATAAACCGGAAAATAATCTTCCTATCCAGCAAGAAAATAATAATAATCAAAAACAACTAATAGATTCCGAAGGAAACCCCAAATATAAATATAATATTGATAATAACCGTCCATTTGAGGAATTGCAATCAGAAAATGATCTATTAGATTCCAAGAATCAAAAAGAAATTATTTTGCCCAACGAAGAAAATGAAAATGAAAAAAATGAGTCTGAAAATCCAGGTTCAATTGTTGATAATAATTCTCCAAGAGCTTCAGAAAAATCACACATTGAAACAATGCCGGACCTAGAGCGACAAGAAATTATCAATTCACATCCAAACGGACCTTATAAATTAATTATTGATAATTCAGCAGTTCCCAGTAAAAGCGAACAATCCACAACGGTTCTTCAAAATTGCACCAACCCAGTACCTATTGAATTGCAGCCTTCAATAATAACTGCTAAAATAAACATAACAAAGAACGTGTTAGATACCGTTAAAAATTCATCGGGATCTATTATTATAAATCCAATTGTTATGATTGCACCTATCCCAGTCAATATAAAAATCACCTCTTGTGGGGCAAATGGGGATAAATCAAAATGCACCGTCCATTCCAAGGTAATATACTCTGCACATAATACTCGACTCAGAATAAAAAAACTAATCGAACATGTTTTTTTTTTAGATTTCTAATAATGTTGTTACCAGTAAAACGGTAGAACCACAGTTACCCTCTTTGTCACCATGTCAACTTCAAAGTCTTAAAAATTTACTATCAAAATTACCTCCATGTTCAGAAGAAGATGATAGAAAAAGGCCCAATGAAACGAAATCTATGAACTGATTGGTGACATATTTTTTGTTCTGTTTAAATATGGATGTAGAATAGCTCAAGTGAAAAAATGACTTTACAATAATAATAATTTATTTGAGGAAACTTGTAGTTTCTAAAACATTAAATTCAATTATTTTTTTCTATCCAATAGTACTGATTGAAGTTCAAGTACATGTTGTTTACAACAAAACAATTGTCATTGAATTTTACATAATTTTTTCATTTTCGACAACATGATTGTTTATAATTTACAATCGATTCAAGACGCTTTGTATTGAACGCAATTTTGTAATTAACTCGCCACCATTAGGTTTACTGAATAAAGTAGTTAAACATTTTGAAATCACATCTTGACATCTGGTGATGATTTTCCGTCTAAAAATAAAAGACGAATTTTATGTAAATAAAATTTTTCGTTGTGATATAAATGTTTATATTTTTATCGTATTCTTATTTACCTTATAAAAGCATTCGTGATATTCGAGTTTGTGATGAAATAATTTACAAGATTAGCTGCCGATTCAATTAGATGGAATTCATTTCCTTCATTAAGCCAAGTTCTGTTGTTACCACCGATCATTCTATTAAAAAATTAATAAAAATCAATATATCTATTTTACAAGAATGGATGCGACTATAAATATAATTAGAAAACAAATTAATACCTATCATAATGATCAAGCAATTCTTCTATTGGTATGTTGAGTTGTAAGAAACAAGTGATAATATGATCATTAGATATCTTCAAACGACATGCTCGAATTTCCAATTCTTTCAGAAGAAAATCTGCAATATTTAATTTTATTAGTTTAGATTTGAACTATGAAATTCCTTTGCTTTGAAAGTAATATACGTACCAACTGGAAAACAATGAGGAGTAACACGATATTCCTGTCCAAGTAATTTAATTTTACTAGTAATAATAGCTAGTTTATCATCTGCAGATGTTGGAGCATTTTTCAGTTCTAAACAAAATCCAAAAATTGAAACATCAAAAAATCAAATAAAAAGTATAAAATATTATATCATATTATATCATATTTTTAAAATCGTCGGACATAATTACCTGTTTCAATAATGTTTTTCCAAATTCCTTGAATTAACATGACGTCTTGGTGTCCAGAACAATGAATTATTGCTAACTTACATTCCCATAATTGTAATGGTTCGGCAAATTCTTCGTAGAGCTAACGAATTTTTTATAATTAAATTTTAGCATTATTCAACAAAACGATTATAAAATGAACCGAAACAAAACTGTTTAAATTACCTGTGTTAGATCAAGTAATCCAGAATTTAATCTTGCTTTAGCGTCCCGCACTTCCATCGCATCAAACAAAGCTTGTTGATTGCAAATCGTGTCTAAAACCTGAGAAAAAATTTTTTAACCATTGAGAATTGAATTTAAATATTATTTATCTTTACGAAAATAATAGATTTAGAAATAGTCTTACTTGCTGTTGAATGCGAGCGACTTCAACTTTATCCTCTAATTCTCTTAAGAAAACGCCAAGATGAGGAGCGTAGCCTGCTTGATCGCTTCGCATACATACAACTGCTCGTGCCAAGTATTCAACTCGTTGAGGCAAAGATGCTTCAAGTCTAATTAAGATATAGGATGAATTATAAATAATATGAAAAAAAAATTTATAATTTATAATTTATAAGTTGATACTTGACATACCCATTTTTGGTAGCAAGCGCGTAGAGTATCTTCGCGGCAGCTGCATGATTCTTATTACGCTCATAAAACTGCCATAATAGTTCTGGTGCATTCGCACGAATAAGGTAAGTTTCAAGTGAAGGAGCTGCTAATGCAACTAGTTCTCCGTTCATATTTTTGTCTATCATCCAAGAATACACAGACGTGTGTAATATTTCACATTTAGAACTTAATGCTTCTTCAACAATTTCATGCATCTGTAATTAAGTGACATTGAAGATTATAAATAAATTATAAATAAAAATAAAATGAAATGCTTGAAATAATAACCGTCTCTTTAGCAGAAGTAACCACCGCGATGGAATTGGAAATGCCTTGATTGTACAGGTAATCCAACATGGCTGTGAATTCTTTGTAAATTTCTAATCTGATAAAAATAAAATTTTAATTAATCAAAATTTCAATTAGACTATTGGGCTTACTTCGTTTAATTTTAATTACCTTTTCATATAAGAGAAACTTCCCTCTTGATCTTCTATGGGTTCGTTATTTTTGTAATAATGAAGAGCCGCATTATTGGGATCAACTTTATCTGCACAGCAAAGACAAAGTTCTAAGACACCTCTATAAAAATGACAAGCTACAAATTGCTGGCACACAGCACCTATGTTCAATCTTGGAGCAACTTCTTTACAAAGCTGTAATAAAATTTGATGTTTTTAGAAATAATTATAATTTTATAGAATCACTTCAAATTATCAATACTGTAAGTGATTACTGACCTTCAAAGCTGATTGAAGAAAAGATTCTTTTTCCTCAGGATTTGTGCAATTTTTAGCTTTTAAAATTATTTCATTTGCCTGCAAAATATAAAAAGTTATTGACTGAAAAAAGTAAATATTTATTGGAAAAAAGATTACTTACTTTTGAGCAAACTGCATCTTCACTACGATAAAGATTTGGACAAATTTCACGCAATTTTGCACTGACTGAATCGACAGATGCATTGTCACCAAGATAACTGAAATTTGTAATAAAAAAATATTAGTTTTTAAAAATAGTTACACGATAAACCTACTGCTTACCTATCGATAAGATGAATAATAAGTAGAGATGAAATTTCATGACCAATTAAAATAAGATCGCGGAATGTTGCAGTCATAAATTGGCTCACTTGATCTTTGGATAAACAACTAACAATATTATGTAATTGATTTTCACACAGTATTTTCCACAAACCAAGAATTTCACAGGCATGGGTGATAAAAATTTTTAATGCATCCAAAGAATTTCTTTCTTCTACAATTGGCTCTTGATATTGACTTGCTATCGTTGTATTGTCAAAACCATCATTGACATTTCTCATTCCACCATGTCTAGAATACAATAATAGTTAAGTAATTTTCTGCAGATTAATATAAATTAGTAATATAAATTAGGGATATAAATTAGTTTGTAGTCTTTAATAGTTAATTGTTTTTTGAAAAACTTTGAAATAAATCACGTTACAATTTTTACAAAATTGAAAAAACATGTTTATACTCACGATTTCGATATATGTGTATTCTTATTTAAGAATGATCTGAGTGCTTGTAAGTGACCGAGTATCCAACCAACTTGAGTAGAGTTCACTGTGCTAAATATTTGAGTTTTACCAGCTTGATTAGAATCTTGTTTTATGCATCTTAAATTCCAAATAGGACGCAAAATGCGACCAATGTAGAGGTAAAGGCCGCCATGTTTTGCTGAAAATTGTTGAAGTCCTGTTGCCTCTCCACCACCGTTTTGTGGATTTTGAGGTGTACGCATCATTTGCGATCGATTATCAAAGTACGGAAGACGAGGTGTTGATGTTCTTATATCATTTGTCACTGTTCAAAAGAAACATATAATGTAAAATTAATTCTCAAAGCTAAATGCGTTTCGAGCAAACTGTTTTTGAGTTTTTATCATTCTAAAATCTTTTCAAATTGAAAACTTACACAAGTTAACTGTAATATTAGAAAACGGTGATTGAAGCTCAGGTGTTTGACCATTAAATAATCGTTGGGAACCATACAAAAAAAAGGCCCTAGTTGCCCATTCAGCCAGCTATTAATAAATTATTTTTAATTACAAAACCAACATAAAATGAAAATTTACCAAAAAATTAATTTTAATTTACCTGAGCATTCTGAGAGCTCTCCAAAGTGGCAAGAATCAGACATGTAGCACACGCTTGTTCAGGTGATTGAGTTTGAAAGTAAGCTTTCACAGCTTCAGTATCAGGTCCTCTTTGCTCCAACAGCAATTGTCTGAGGATATCAACTGGTCTAACTTGAATAAGTACAATGGCACCCTAAAATATATTGAACATAATGAAATAATTTGTAATCACTTATTAAGTGTATTCATCTTAAACTTACTTGAGCAGTCAAGAAGATGAATTTACGTGGGGGTTCCATGTGTTGACGTACTAAAAGTGGTGGGTCCCCTTGGCTGGCTATTTGTTTTTCAATTTGAATAGCTGATTCACCAGGTATTTCAGCCAAAGCCCATACAGGACTATCAAGAGGAAGAATGCTCTGTGTCTCAGCAAGGCAATTTGAAAATGGATAAGCATCATTACTCAAACACCAAGCACTTTCAGTATCACCCCCACATGTGAGAATTAATGTTCCTATAATATAATACAAAGTATTAATAAAACAAATAAATTACTTTCTAGTTTGTAGAAATATTGCGGTAAGAACATTCACCTTTTCTATAATGGGCCATTTGTACTTTGCGTGGTCTCATTACTGGTGCATTGGCAGCATATCCAGGAGGTAAACGTACATGTATCAGCTGTAAGCATTGTGGTCTGCCCATAGGATTAGTTGATGATGTACAGCTAAAATAAAATCTTGTACCTGTGGCAGCTACGGCTACCAAATTTAAATGCAAAGACTCTGATTCATTAATAGCAGATATGCTAACAAGGGGCCTAAAATTGTTACTGTCCAATGTTTTGACTACATGTACAGAATTTTGAACCAATGTGGCTTGAGACATTGATGTTATTTTTGATGCACCGCCACTGTCAATATCCCAAACTGTAATTGTACCTTTATCACCTAAGGTGTAAAGTATGCTACGAGAATCATCTACTGATATTTGTACAATAGCCTCTTCATCGGACAATGCAACAGATACAAATGATGGAACTAAAAATGAAAATGGGCCTTCAGAGTGGTTGATTTTTTTGCAGCGCTTGCCAAACCAGCTGCTTTCTGCCTGAAAGAGGAATTCACTTTGTAAAACTTAATACATTCAATTTTTTAAATTACGTACTTGATAATAGATCTCATATAGAGAGCCATTTCTTCCTCCCAAAAATATTCTCCCACTATTAGTATTTGCAATTGTTGTAATAGCTATGCCATCAGTTGTGACAGTAAAAATAGGTTCAGGAACCAACTGCATTTCTCCTTGTGAACCTTTGAAAGAAAAGTGCATGATTTTTATAAAATTGCTACTTATATCATTGATGATAAAATTTAATATTATTCATGGAAAATACCATCTTCATTATCAGTTAGAGTAACTCCAAGAACAGTTATTTCCACAGTTGTAGTTAACACAAGTAAATATTTTACATAACTTTGAAAAATACCAGGTTTAGGTTTCACCAGACCTACACTGATGATTGTTTCATTTAATCCATCAAAGTATGCAACATCGGATCTGTAATTTGAAAATATAATTATAGTATGTACAAAATTAATTACTTATTCAAAATAGATTAAAGTTTCTTACTCATTTTCATATGACCACACATAAATATCACTATCAATAGTTAACCATGCTTTTGAAATGTCAGTAAATAAACCCATCATACAATGACATTGCATATCTAAAATAATTGATTCATAGTAAAAATTAATAGAAAAGAATATTATTCAAATAAACCTAAGGTTTTTAAATAAACTTATTTAAAACATACGTCCAAAATGTTCCATAACTTCTGATGGTAAGGGTATTTTACTGTGCATTCGCATTTGATTGATATTAGTTAAACTCATTGATGTTCCATTTAGATTTGGATAGTCATATACATCTAAACCACTAACAGTTGGATTCCCTTGTACATTATATCTCATGAGATTGATCAATGAAGGAAAATTACTATCGGCAACAATATGTTTGTCTACCATTTTTCCTGCCATTTCCAAGGCATCTAGATGGATTTTCATTGGCTCCATTTTGGCAGAAATTGAAATACTGTAACAATATTCTAGAAAAATTCAAGACATTTTACCTTATTTTTCATTCAATAAAAATTCCATCACATGACAAAATTGAAGAGCAAGTTTTTATTGAAATACAGAAAAAAATGCAATAATCAAAACAGGAATTGGTTTTTACTCACAAAATTTCAAACGAGTCTTAATACTTTTCTCAAAAAAAGTAGTAAAAATATCAACTGAACATTTAAATTCTCATTAAATACAAATCGTCGTTAGACACCAACCAACATAAAGGTTAGTTGCAGTAAAAAGAGTTCACAAGATAGTATATGATGAAAAACCACAAAACTAATTGTACAAAATACACATAATCACAACTAAAAGTACAATTATTAGCAAAAATTTGAATAAGCGCACTGTTTCATAAGAAAGTTGCAATATTGTTTTGAACACTGTGCACAACGTTTACGCCGGTAGAACCACCGACATCTTTTTGTCAGCCGGAAGATTTCGCGCCTTTCAGCGTTCACTGAAATGTTATGTTATTGGTGCCAGTAATTCAATTGATCTCGCTTTATAATAACTTTTGTATTTGCCATTATCATAAAATTTATAATTAAACATTTTTTTATGGGAAAATAGAAAATCGTACTTTATTGATAAAGTGATTTTAAAATTCTTACAGCCCAGTGAAACGGTTTTTGTTGAACAGTTATAGTATTATCCCGTTCCCTTATTTTAAATTTGTGATAAAAATGAATTTTTGAAATAACTATTGATATCAACTTTTTCATCTAGATGTTTAATATTATAAAAGCAATTGAATATAATTTTTGAGGCGTTACTATTTGTTTTATAAACATTTGTTCGTAACAAATTTAAAAAAAACTCTTCATCGTGACACATTGATTTTGACTCTTTCGATAGTTATCATACTATTAATTTTGACGTTTAGGTGAAGGGAGGGGACCAAAATTCCTTCAATAGTCGACCTTTATCATACTGATAATTCAAGTCGTATTTCCGTAAAGTAATATCGTAAAATCGTAATTAGGCGGCTCAAGTAAGTACGAGTTTGCGCAATTGATTCTACCGTTGCCATTTAGAATATTATCCTTTGCGCTCATTTGTACTGCACGATATGATATCAAAATGTACGCACAGACCAGGTATACCTATATCTATGTATAGTATAGTTCGGAGAACGGCTACTGCTGTATTTACTGAGTGGCATCGTCGTGCGCCTTGCAGCTGTGTTCTCAGTTTTCACAGAAGTATATAACAGATAGGTACTCCCCAAAATGACGTGCTGAAAGTTTTATTGATAAAAAAAAATAATACGTCAGGTGATCAGTTGCTCTGAAGCAATTAAATTTAAAGGTAATTACGTTGTGAGCTGTTAAATTAATTTTGGAAGCGCGTTATTGCAATTATAATGCAATGTTCATGGAAAGAATTATTTGACATTTGGTGAAGAGAATAACCACAACGTTTTGCAACCCACAAACAATAACAAAAAACATTGATTCAAGAGTTCCATATTGCTCATGATTCATAAACCATTATTTTCGAAATTTATTAAACTTTTGGATTAATAATCAATATTTTATGTAGTTTATTTTGTTTTGAAGATTCAAGATGATGAACCACGAACAAATGGCAAGTCCACTGTTATTCTCAGACGATGATATTGAGACAGGAGGAAAAGAAGGACAAGAAAATATCGAAAATGATTTTGCATATAGAAACAATGTTCAAAATGCATCAGTTAAAATTCGCATGGGCAAGCAAATTGAATTTTACTATTTCCCTAATTATGAGTTTAGAAAATTAATATTTTTTCTCATTTTATAGCTTTTATTCGGAAAGTTTACAGTCTCCTCAGTGTTCAACTTCTCATGACTGTGATCATTGGCAGCATTTTTTGCATGGTATCACCTGTGAAACTCTATGTTTCTCAAAAGTAATAATTTATGTTATGACATAAATTAATTAAAGAGAAATGCTGACTTCAATTCCTATTACATTCTCAACTAAATTTTTTTCTTTTAGTGTCTGGCCAGTTATGGTATCATTCTTTTTAACATTTGGAATTTTAATAGCCTTGCATTTCAAGAGGAAAGAGCACCCAACTAATTTAATTCTATTGGCTTGCTTTGTATGTACTTAATCACATATATTTTTTATACAGTTTCATTATTCATTTTAGTTTTTATATTTAAATAATCTTGAATTTAAGACTATGGTGCAAGCCTTCACAATTGGCATAGTTGTGAGCTTATATGATGTTGTGTTGGTGATTGAAGCTCTGTTTATAACTCTGGCAGTAGTGATTGCTTTGACAGCATTTACATTTCAAACTAAAAGAGATTTTTCTTCAATGGGAGCTGCGTAAGTTTTATATTTATAAATATATTTTTATCAGCAAAAGATATTTCATAATAATAAATATATTTCTTATTAGATTATTCTCTCTATTATGTGTACTCATAATTGGAGGAATCCTTCAGATATTCATTCAGAGCAGTGCAATGGAGCTTTTAATTTGCGTTGGTGGTGCTCTACTCTTCTCATTGTTTATTATTTTTGATACCCAGCTTATAATGAAAACATTATCACCAGAGGAGTACATTCTAGCTACTATCAACATCTACATGGATATTCTTAACTTGTTTTTATACATTCTACGGATCTTAGAGATGGCTCGAAAGTAATTGCGCAATATTATTATTATTGACAAAAGGTGCTTTTCAAATTTGCAATTGAATTTTTTCAAATATCAATTTTCCCAAGTTAAAATATTTACTGATACCCACATTTTCCTTTGAAAACATGAAATTTTCAAATTATGACAAAAAGAGGGCTAATATTAAAAAGAAACTGTTTTTTAATAGAATTACTTTTAGGATTTAGTTCTTATGTATTTATGAAAAAGTATTTCGAAATATTTGGTCCTGAATTAATCTGAGTTAAAAATTTGTTTTGTAAATTAGTACAAAATTATTCGTCAAAGTAATTTGTTTAAAAATTTATAAATATCTAATTACGTTTATGTACAATTTTGTAATATTAGAAAATTTCAGAATTTAATATAGTTATTAAAACTAAATTAACCATTATTGACAATTACAGATGTATATTTATAAATCTTTGAGTGTGATTTTACTAAAATAAGAAAAAGTAAAGTTAAAGTATTGACTATTTTGTTATGGGACAATGTACGTTTCAAATATCTATTGTACATTCCAAAATAATAATTTAATAAATAAATCACTTAATTAATTCTTCATAACTGTTTAATGAAATTGTAAGCTTTATTAGTGAACTTCCAGCAAACTTAATGTGTGTTTCCAAAATATCAACCAACATTCGATTTTGCAAATTATTTAGTGTTTTCTTTTTGCATATCTGTTAATGCCATTTACATCAAACAAAATGATACACAGCGCATCTTTTTAGGCAATTATATATTTTTAATTTCTTAAATTATAATACTAGATTTTTAAAATTTTTTAATTTTCATTTGTATTTAAAAGTAGAGTATTAAATTGGCTTTTTTAACTTTAAGTTAAAATAAAAAACGCCGTACTTTATTCACAACTATAATTTTATTCAATTAATCGTAATAACATATTCAAGAGATTAAGACTCCATTGGGGTAGCAGCATCATCTTTGTATTTGCCCTTATCCTTACCCAAAGCAGCAAGTCGACCTTTGCTTCTTCTTTCTAAGATAGCTTTACGATCTTTATCAATCTTCAACTTTACAATAACAACCTGCAATAAGAAATTAGCTTTTTAAAACATGTACATATTATTAAAGACTCAAAAAAGTGATGATTTATCATTAAAATCAGTGCCAATTACTCTGCAGTTTTCAAACTTTATAATATAAGCTAGTCATATAACTAGAACACCTAGTTACTGATTTACTTATAATACTCAGTAAGATCCTATGTGAATGGTTTGGATCATCATTTTGTTTCAAAAGAAATATTCCTACCATGAGAAATTAATGTACAATAAAAATTTTAATTTTTTCTTACCTTTGATGGGTCAATGCCAACTTGAACAGAGGAGCCATTGCTCTTTTCTCTCTGAATGCGTTCAATATAGATCACAAATTTTTTGCGATATACTTGGATAACTTTTCCAACTTGTTGTCCTTTGTAATGACCACGAACGACCTATAATCAAAAATAAAAATACTTATCAATAACTGATGATTATTAAAAGAAATTGTAATTAATCTTTGACATAAATATCAGTGCCATTTTTTCTGCATCAATTGAGAATATGATTGAACCCAACACTGTTAAAGAGAAAACCTCAAAAACAATGTCATTGAACAATTTATTACACAATTTATGTGAATGGTTTGGATCATCATTTTAAAGTAATGTCATTTATAAGTTCTTTACTACTTTATGATATGTATATTATGATATATTACATAAAATTTTTTGCATCAACAGTGGTATTAATTTAAATCATGTACCTTGTTATCTTACCATTACTTCATCATCCTTGCGAATTGGGATGCTTCGAACATTGTATTTGGTTCTCAGTTCCTTTGAGAGAGGAGCTGACATAAGCCGCCTTCTGATGTGTGAAGGGGCTGTAAAGTGCGCCTTCCTGCTTTTCCTTCTTGATGAACTCACCAACTTATTCAACTTCATGATGTCTGTTCACTAAACACGAAAACAAATTTTTTTTACATTTTTATGCGTATTAAAACATACGGTAATTTGTTAAATTTTTACTCTACTTGCATTTATGCAAATGTTACATGTGATTACTTCATAACCATTCAAATCAGATGAAAGTCACATGTGATAGTTTAATTACAAACCTTGTCTTACAACAGTATTTTTTATAGATTCATAAAATAACTACGTCAACTGTTGACAAGAACATAAAATTTGAATAGAGAAAAATAAGCCACATATAAATATTGGCAATTATTATAAAAATTAATATACTAAAAGCATTGATTTTTGTTAAAAGTAATTACCTGTGAGGACAGCCTTTTCGAAAAACGCTTAAGACACGAAGAGACTAACCTAAATTTTGTTCATGCCACTCGAACCAAATTCCATTCCACGCCACCGGCGGCCACGGACCACGGTGCACGCGCTCAGCGCGGGCCGCGGTGCAAATCAGCATTGCATTGCAATCCGGTATCTGATCCGATCATTGGAGTTCCAACTTGCATTAAGCATTGCAGTTCAATGATATCAGCCAATTAGATCGATTCCGATGCAAATAAGTAAAACATGTATAATAATGGTATTTTTGTGTAAGAGTTCCCTAAATTGTTGAATTAATGAGTGAACAATTTGTTAAACGCATAAAAAAACTTCTAATTATGAAAAAATGTTTGCTATTCTCTTTCTAATTGCACTAGTATTAAAATAATTTGAATCATTAATTTTTGATTTCAAAATATTAAAAAAGAATACAAGAAAAACAATACTCTTGAATTATATTCAATTATTCCCTTTTCCTCAAATGATTTTTTTAATTTATACATGTTATCCAAAAACTCAAATATTTTGTAATTCATCAGGAATTTTAATGAGGAATTGTAAAGAAATTAAAAAAAATTATTAAAATGGTACCACAATAAATGTTTTCTTTAAAGTTCATTCAAGAAGGATAATATAGAGACCTTTACCACAAATTCAAGTGAGCTAATACAAATAAACTAATCAATGTTAAGATAAAACTGTATCATAAAATAAAAATTTTAAAAATTAATTAAAGACATTATACAATACAACTTCATGAAGTTTAGAAATAAATTAGACTATAAAAATTGACTATAAAAACAATTGCAATTATAATTACTCAGTTAAAATAATATAATTTAAGTTCCCAAAAATTTGATAGAGTAGAATAGTTGAAATTAGGTAAAATTCAATGGATGTAAAAAAAATGTTCACTTTTTAGTGTAATCACTGCTTTTTATTTATAATTTTTCATCTTACTTCAAGATTGAACTTAACAAAAATTAGCATTTTAAAACAAATCATTTCAAAGATACTATTGATTACTGAAGAGTTTCACAATTTACTTGGCCATTTGTTCTAGAGCTTTCAATTCAGCTGGAAAAAAAATTACATATAAATATTTCAAATCACTGATTTCAATAAAATTAAAAAATAGTTTTAGTTCATAAAACACATTGTGAAATGGTTTAAAACCATTAAAATGAGGTCTTGAAAGTTATGAATGAATTTCGTAATTACCATCAGCAGCAATTTTCTTTTCTGCAGCAAGTCTAGCTTCACGAGCTGGTCTCTCTCTTTCTTCTATCTCTCGTCGAGCAGTTTCTCTTTTGCTAAGTCTATTTTGATGGAATGCTCCGTATGCTACTCCCAAAGCAAGAAAGCTCCAGCGACCAAACTGTATTTGAAAAAGGATTTAGTTTCAGTATTAGAAGATAAATAAATAATCAAAGAGGTATCATATTTAGTTTTAAGTAAATGATACCAGTCATTTCTATTCGGAATTATATATTCTTAAGGGAAAGCAATAAAAATGTATCATCTAAACAATAAGTGATCTTTAACGTCATTTGAAGGTTACAATTTAAACTACAGTATTTATATACTGAAGTGTATGACTTCTTAACGGTAGACGAAAACTTCGAGCATGAAATTATTGCCGCATTTTCTTTTCTTTTTTCACAATTCCATCTCTGGTTATCATTGTAAACAATAATATTTATTTTCACATGATAACTCAAGTTTTACAAATTATGTAACTTCTGCGAGCAAATTCAATTCTCGGAGTCACCTGATTGATCTCAAATGAAAGCGTAAGGAAATCATCGGTCTCAGTGATAATGTTGATTTAATACACTGTAATGTACCTTGATAAGGGGTGAAACCCGGACGGGTCTTGGATTAAGCTCTGCAGCCGACATTTTTGCTATTATTCACTTCTCACTTTACTATGAGACGAGCAACAACGACTGACTGGAGTACAGTTTTCACGATTCGCGTTCACGCGCACGAAAGAACAGACGACGCAAGACCATTAAATTTACCAAGCATTAACCGTAGGTAATGCGACGTCACATCCGACGTTTTTTTTCGCCAGCGATAGCAAGTACATGGTTGATAAATTAGGCTCTAGTCCATTTATTTTATTGGATTTTAGATCAATTTTTCCTAGAAATTTAAACCTGCGACTTACCAATGTATTAATCATAATTTTATACTTGTACTTTAGCGGCAACAAAACACGAGTAAGTGCATGAAACGATAACTTGATCGAATTCAAATGCGAATAGTAATCTTTTCAACTACTGTTGAACGACAATTTTTTTACAAATAATCTTTCAATTTACTGTTGTACGATAATTTTTTTAAAAATCAAGTCTAAATGAGATGATTATGAAGTGTTATAAAATTAGTAATTGATTTTTTCACATATGTAGAGGTAAGGGATAATAATGATTCAAAAGGTATGATATGCTCGGAAAAATCTATTTATTAAACTTGAAACAAATTTAAAAAATACAGAATGTCTCGAGTGTAAATGAAGTAAAAAATTTCCTTGCAAAAATTGTGATCAAATAAATTTTTAATATGCGCTTTTGAAACCAAAGCGATCATGTTTAATACTCTTCGGCACCTTCGCCTTCGCCCTCGGTGGAGTCCATGCCTACTTCTTCGTAGTCTTTCTCCAGAGCAGCCAAATCCTCACGAGCCTCGGAGAATTCACCTTCCTCCATACCTTCACCGACATACCAGTGAACGAAAGCTCTCTTGGCATACATCAAGTCAAACTTGTGATCAAGCCGGGCCCAAGCTTCAGCAATGGCTGTTGTGTTAGACAACATGCAAACAGCGCGTTGAACCTTAGCAAGGTCACCGCCAGGAACGACAGTTGGTGGTTGGTAGTTGATACCGACCTGTAAATTAAATAAATTCATTATTAAACACTGCAATATTCACTAACTATTAATTAGCGATTACAAAGTTATGTACAAACCTTGAAACCAGTTGGGCACCAATCGACAAACTGGATGGTTCTCTTGGTCTTGATGGTGGCAATGGCTGCGTTGACGTCCTTTGGTACGACGTCTCCTCTGTACAACATACAGCAGGCCATGTACTTGCCACGGCGTGGGTCACATTTGACCATCTGGTTGGCGGGTTCAAAGCAGGCGTTGGTGATTTCAGCAACCGAGAGTTGCTCGTGGTAGGCTTTCTCGGCAGAGATAACTGGAGCATAAGTGACCAGTGGGAAGTGGATTCTGGGGTAGGGCACCAAGTTGGTTTGGAACTCGGTCAGATCGACGTTGAGAGCACCATCAAAACGGAGCGAAGCCGTGATGGATGAAACAATCTGACCAATCAGACGATTCAGATTGGTATAAGTTGGGCGCTCGATATCCAAATTACGACGGCAAATGTCGTAGATCGCTTCATTGTCGACCATGAAGGCGCAATCGGAATGTTCCAGGGTAGTGTGCGTGGTGAGGATCGAGTTGTATGGCTCAACAACTGCAGTTGAGACTTGTGGAGCTGGGTAGATGGCGAATTCCAACTTGGACTTCTTGCCATAGTCAACTGACAGCCTCTCCATCAACAAGGATGTGAAACCTGAGCCAGTACCTCCACCAAAGGAATGGAAAATCAAGAAACCTTGAAGACCTGTGCATTGATCAGCCAATTTGCGGATTCTGTCAAGCACCAAGTCGACGATTTCCTTGCCAATGGTGTAGTGGCCACGGGCGTAGTTGTTGGCGGCATCTTCCTTGCCAGTGATCAACTGTTCGGGATGGAACAGCTGACGGTATGTACCAGTACGTACCTCATCTAAATAGATAAAAGTGTAATTAGTAAATAATTATACTTGAATTGGGAATGAAAAAGTTTGAATGAAAAAGCTTGTGACATACCAACAACAGTGGGCTCCAAATCAATGAAGACTGCTCTGGGCACATGTTTGCCAGCACCAGTTTCACTGAAGAAGGTGTTAAAGCTGTCATCGCCACCTCCAATGGTTTTGTCTGATGGCATCTGCCCATCAGGCTGAATGCCATGCTCCAAGCAGTAAAGCTCCCAGCAGGCATTACCAATCTGAACTCCAGCCTGTCCAACGTGGATTGAGATACACTCACGCTGAAATTCAGAGTAAAAAGATTAGTCATTCGTTTGAATCGAAAAAAATTTTGCAGTAGGCGAAAAGCTAGGAAAAATTTCGCGAAAAATTTTAACGAATAAGTCGAAAGAAATTCAGAGATAGGAGAGCTTCTTATTACTCATAAAGAATGCGGGCTACGAGTTTTGAATTGCTCTGGTAGAACCGTTAAATCGCTGTCTGACGCTGCGAAAGCATAAATAAGCACATGAAGTATCGCGCGCAACCCATTGCAAGTAACATCCGGAGGCTCGGCGGTCGGCTCTCTCTTTCTGTCTCTCCCGCCCCTTCCAACGGATCGAGCTCCAACAGGCACATCTTGTACGCGCGCGGAGAGAACGCCGCGAAAAAGGAGCGGTCTCTCCCATAGAAGGAAATTGCTGGCAAGTTCTTCTCGGCGGTTGCCACGCCGTGTATACAGCTGCCATACAAATACGATGCGTAACGTACGAATACATGCGAATCGGACGATACGCTCTACTAAAACAGCTGCCCTCTCCTTGACTTCCCCTGCTCCCCGTGAAGCGATGAGCCGACCTCGCGGAATACCCGATAATTTCTTACTTTATTATAGACGTGGGCGAGCCTTGAGCGTTGCGAGTTTTAGCACGACCGAGTATGCGAATCTAAACTTTAATGATCGTGCCATTGAAAGCCGACCGGGGGCATTAAAGAATCGATGAAAAAAAAGCAGAGGCGCGTAAATTATTCAACGGTATCGCGGAATTCCAAGTCCCAAGGGCTGAGTCACCGTTGGGGCGTCGCCGGCCGGCGACCGTTATAGTTCATTCGCGCAAAATGGCCGAGCGCTCGGCGAGAAACGCGAGTCTTCTTCCCTTATTTCGGGCCGTCGCGAAAGTCTATTCGACGACCGTTATTTTCGCATCGAAACGGCAGCAAGCGAATTGGATTCAAAGATAAAGCGAAATATGTCGGCGAGTGAAAAATAGAAGTAAGGAAAAATCGTAAAATCAAAAACTTACCATTTTGGTTTGGGTGGTAGAGGTTAAGCGTCAGAAAGAGCAAAAAAGTCAAATAATCGACGAGCGATGTATGAAGATTTGATGATAGCGGCGAGAGTCGTTTGTCGCTGGAAGCTGGCAATGATACTTCCTTGGACGAACTAGCGCAACTGTGACGCGCGCGGCCCTAGCTTCGGCGTTTTATACTGGCGGCTTGGCTGCGAGCGGTTGGTCGACGGTGACGTGCTGGCTAACTTCTCATTGGCTGGAGCGACGCGCCTGGAACAGCAATCAAAGCTGTATGTGTGTGGTGTTTGTGTGTGTGTGTGTGTCTATGCGCGAGTTTACGTGTCTATATTTTGCGTGTCTGTTCGCTATATGAGAATTGCCGTGTGTGTTCGCAAAACTGCTGCTGCTGCTGTATCAAAGTTCGTGTTGCCGCTTGGCCGCTTGCCGACTGCGAGTTTTGCGACCGCAATGCGCACTGGAGCTGCGTGAATGTGTCTCGATATTATAGCCGATAGCTGTGTATCTATGCACATTATAACATTCGACACGAACGAACTTGGCTTCGTATTTTAAACAAACAACGATCTCCATGCTTTCAATTGAATCCATCGTTTTATCGATCGAAATGAAGACCGATGAATTTTATCGTTGAATTCGACGTACCTACTATGGCCTGCGCTCGTAGGCGCAATCATGGCGTTTTTCATTGACCCTTTTCGTTGAGAAATAATCAAAGCACGCCCAGAAAGAAAGAGAAAATAAAACTACATTCGAAAATCGACGTTAAATACTGTATAGTAAGCGAGTTGCTGCATTTCATTCACGGAGACAGAGAGAGAATTTGGAAAACGAGTTTCTCTGCGGCCAGACAACGACAGGCGAAGCGTTCTACTTTTGATTCCTTGAGGCTCGACGTCTGCAGTGCGCGGCCTGTGTGTACGTGTCCATAAAAGGACACTATAAGTCGCCCACTACATTTTTTTTTAAATACGGACTTGGATTACGTGTACAACAACATCCGCTCGATTTTGCTCGAGGATGACAGCAGGACTTTTTTTCTCAACTTCGTTCGAGCCTCGAGCAAGTGTGCAGGCGACAGAAAATAAGTAGATGCAAACGCCAAAAATTAGCACTCGATCTACAGGGATATAGAAAAATATTAAGGAGTGGCAAAATATTTTTAATAGACTGCGGCACGCGGCCCGATGTGCTCCCATACGATACACGTGTATGAGTCATCGCGTAGAATTATTGATCCTTTTAAATATGTGTATACACGGTGCGACGCGTTGCAGGGTATTACCTTGTAAATCGTTTTATTTGGCTCGCTTGGCTTCATGACAATTTCGACAATTGTTTTAAATCGCTCGTCGATCGCAAAAAAACCTTTCGATACAAAATATCAACTCGTCGAAAGTCGAGCAGAGCTACATCGTACTCGCTGGCGAGTCGAGATTTTCTCTCGGTGAAAATTGTACAAGACTCGACTCGATGATTTTTCATTAAGACCGATACTCTAGTTAGCCTTGCCCTAGACATAGACGCATTCGAATTGAGTATGACAGGTACTATTGCACTTGTATCATTGACTCTAGCTCGTTGTGTAAGTACAGGTATCATTGTACACGTTCGGTGTCCGTGTCGCGATTCGCGTAGTTATATTTTATTATTTTACGCGTATATGCCGGTCGCAAAAATTCGCTAGAAACGTTTATTCGAGTATCGATCGTTGTCGATGATTTTGCCCTGTGATTAAAAAAAGATTCAACTACGCGCTAATAATTGTAGTAGCCGTGAGCCGATAGTGAATTTTACTTTTGGATCTCGAGTTTACGCCCACGTAGAGTCCAGACATTCGAAAGTCTCTTGTGGCAGCACAAGTTGTTTATTTTGTTTCATCTTAAAGCCGTCACTCTTATTTACCTTTAAATACGAATATGGAGTTACTTATGTTTCATCAATAGATGCGAAAGAATAAGAGACTTCTTCCAAAGCCTCGGAAATTTGACAATTCTTTTGCAAATACTCTATGTAAAATAAATACGGCGAACCGGAAATAGTCTAAATTATGATTTTAGTATTAAATTGTCTGATTTCAGTATTTTATCCCACAAGTGATCATATTATTAATTTATAATGAAAAAAATAGAACATTTATTCTCTCGCTAAAAAAGTAAAGACTGAAAATATTTTTGAATTCGAAATAGTTTCATTGTACCAAATTAAAAACCATACACTAGTTTTTATCATATCGTTAATTTTGATATAAATAATTTTGAGCTCCAATAGAATTGTAGTTGACGTAAAATGTCATTAAATTTCCCGTGACCCATCTCTTCAGGTTCCAATGGCAAAGAAAAAAGTCAATTTTACTCTAGACATAATATAATATTCAGAGGAGTATATAGAACATTTTACGTCATGGCGTAAATTATAATTTTTAGCTTATTTGAAAATTCCAAGAGTTTAACTCGCAAAAGTAAACAAAAAAATACGTACAAGATTGTCTTGATTTTCTATGTTAGTGAGAAAAATTCCTGCAAATATTCAACATGTAAATCAGAAATAGTAAGGAACCTGTCGTCTTATCACCATCGACGTGTTAACATAACAATGACGAGGTGAAAAAATTTTATTGCATAAATTGAGTGGACAGCATTGCGAGGAAGGTCTTGGTATGCGCTCGATCGATGCGGAGCTAAACTACCCCTATTTAACAGTGTTCGCCTTGAAACACAATAAAATTTAAGTTCTTTAAAAAACATCAATGCTTAACGATATGAATGAGTGAGGAGCTAAATTTGGGATTTGCCCACTCTACCGAGAAAATTTATTCTCATGCTTACACGAGTCTAAATTTAATTAATTTAATAGAGATAAAGATTGGGTACGAATTCTAACGATAACATCTTTTTCATTGGTTTTTTCAATGACAGATGACAGCTAATATCATTGCAGTCGAACACTCCGATGAAATTCATAAAAGAAAATGTCAAAATGATGCACAAATGGTGCTAAAAAACTCATTAGAAACAAATTTTAAGTCGAAATGTTCTTATAATATTGAAGATTCAGGATAGCTTGAAATTTGTTGGTGTCGACATCGTTGTTTTCCCACAGTTCCGGTGATATTCCTTACTATTTGAAGGATGTTATTTTTATGTGAAAATTTCAAATTATTATAGATAAAATCTAATTACGTCAGTGGAATTTATAACTGGCGATTTTAATGCTTATTTAAAATGTTCGAAAAATATAAATACTTTACTCCAATCTGATACAGATAACACTTATTCAAACTATTTTTACAAGTTCTGTAATTCAAGATTGAAAATTTTCAAGATTATAAATACATTTGTTTTTTATTTGTTCAAATATTATTCTTTTTTGTAGAATGCCGCTGAAATAATTCATCGAGAGCTTGTTCCAAGTTCGCATTTGTTCCTTTCAATCCGCGAACGACGGATTCGGCCCACTAAAAGAATTTAACCAAAATTTCCATATGAAAAAAATGTACAAAGTTTAACTGGGATTTACACATAAATTTTCCAACGCACCTTGAAATATTCATCAACTCTTTCCTCAGTCCATTCAACAGGAGTTTCTTTTTCTAAATCTCTCAAATTGTAAAGCTTATCAGCTAATTTGACTAGTTTTGCTTCATAGCTACTGCTGGGAGCGTGGAGAATTTGTAATCGTTTTCTTTCCTGCTTCGGTAGAGACTTATCATCTGTGACCTCTTTTACGATGCTACACACTTTTTCACCAAAATGCTCTTTAATTTCGTCAAAAGTCGTGTCTGTATCTTCAACTGTATCATGGAGAAGAGCTGCCATTATAACAGGAAGACTGTAAATACCTCCCTCTTCGACTAATATATTAGCAACGCCTGAAAATGAATAATATTTAAGATAAACCAATAAGCAAATGAATTTTTTGTGAATTAATCGGATGACTTACCAATAGGATGATTTATGTAGGGAGTCTTTGCTGCATTGCAACGTCTTTGGGATGTATGCTTTATAGCAGCAAAGTTGGTACATTTCACAATTGCAGCCACCAATTCTTCGTTGTTCATCGCTTCTGCAGATTTTCCAATATCCTTTGATTCTGTATCAAACTGTTTGTGAACACAGTGAAGTGACATTACTTCGATATGTTAGTTTACAAACTCACGTGTGTTTCGACATTTCATTCGCCGGGCCACCATATGCGTCTCAGTAGAGAACTGCACATTCTGCAATACTAACATACGATAATCAAACTGCCGCGCCATCTTTATTCATGATGTAGCACTATAACATTTCGGTAAAATCTTGAGTATACCGATCTCAACCTGCATTAATTTGCCGAATCGGCGAATTACATATAGTCATTAGGACACTTTACTTTAAAAAAATATATCTTGAATTATACGTGACTGCGTTGATGCTTCGTGTGTCAAACTATAGACATGTATTTTCTAGTTAAAGTTCAAAGATTTAAGAGCTTGCATGAAAAGTTCAATTGGAATTTGAAAGGCCAAAAATGAGTGACGCACACTTCTTCGTCAACTGTATATTTTAATCAAAAATTTAAAAAAACGATGATAACTTGGCGGAGCTATTCTCCAAGATCAACGATGATACCTAGCGATCTGTGCAGCTTGATGCTCGGGACAAGATGGGCCGGACACCGCTGCAATAGACTATGGAAAATCTTTTGCCGCATGTACGGTCGATATAATATTGGATCATGGAGCTGATTTGTCTACCTAATTTTTTTTCCTGCTAGTGTTGAATATTGGATACAGATTAGAACGGATACGTTTCTGGCAGTTGTCATCCATTTCAATAAAAGAAGGTTCGAATTGAATTAAAGCGACGTCCTGATGATAATGACATTGATTGATAAATACTGATTGTTCGGAAAGTCGACAAATCTTGATAGATTTTGGTATAAGAACAAAATCTTCCCAAGAAAAATAAAAAAAAACATTTATAAATCCAAATCTGACGTTCTGCAACCAGTGTCGGATTAGAAAAAGAGTAGCCTCCGCACAAACTTCCATTAGATTTTGGTGGCGATTTTAGTTTGATAAGAGTACTAAAAAAGGAAAACAAAATTATAATAGCTATTCCTAATTTTGATTAATATTTTCCAAACATTTTTTGTTTTAATTAAAGTATCAAATGGGTTTCAAGTTGGCTTTTTCAGTGAGAACGTATTGTTATTACCGAAAAAAATTTTGTTAGCATAAATATTCAGTCTGTCCGCAAGTTCTTAAAAATCTTTCACTAATGCATGTTTGATTAATTCAGGATCGGGATATAATTACGCGAGGTTTATCAATGATGTAATGTTATTTGATAGCACGTGAAGTTCAGGTAGGACATGTCATTTCGGCTGAATTTTTATTGGAATTTTAGAAAACATGTGTATGAATATTCTACATATATTTGCAATTGTCAATCCTTGTTTTTCCTCGCAATCGTCTTTTGTTTAAGCTTTGCGACCCTCGTGGACTGTCCTTTGGTGTCTTATCATATTCGATTTTTCTCGAAATTTCTTCTCGCATTTGTCGCATGCAAAATCTTTGCTACCTTCATGGACTACTTTTTGGTGTCTTATCAATTTCGATTTTTCTTGAAATTTCTTCTCGCATTTGTCGCATGCAAAATCTTTGTGACCTTCGTGGACTACTTTTTGGTGTCTGGTCAAATTGCCTCGTCCCCCAAATTTCTTCTCGCATTTGTAACATACATAATCTTTCCGACCTTCGTGAACTGTTTTTTGATGGCAGAGCAAATGCGATTTGTATCCAAATTTCTTTTCGCACTTGTCACATGCGAAATCCTTACGATTTTCGTGAACTATTTTATGGTGTTTTCTCAAATATTCATGAATCCCAAATTTCTTATCACATTTGTCACATACGTAATCTTTGCGACTTTCGTGGACTGTTTTTTGGTGCCGAATCATAATCCATTTTTGTCCAAATTTCTTTTCACACCCGTCACATTCGTAATCTTTGCGACCCTCGTGGACTGTCCTTTGATACTTCAACAAAACTGATTTACTTCCACATTTCTTCTCGCGATTGTCGCACACGTAATCTTTGCGACCTTCATGGACTGTATTTTGGCGGCTTATTATATCTGATTTTATTACAAATTTCTCTTCGCACTTGTTAGATGTTAAATCTTTGCGACTTTTATGGACAGTTTTTATGTGCAAGAGCAAACTATGTTTAGTATCAAATCTTTTAGCGCACATTTCACATAAGTAATTTTTAAAAATTTCGTGGAATATTTTTTTGTGCTTGAGTAATGTTGATTTATCTTCAAATTTCTTCTCGCACTTGTTGCACTTGACATTTTTGACAGCTTTGTGTACCAATTTTTGATGCGTAAACAAAGTCGATTTTTTCACAAATCTCTTCTGGCACTGGTCGCATGCAAGATCATTGCGACTTTTGTGTTCTGATATTTGGTGTCTACTCAAATGACTTCGGAACCTAAATTTCTTTTCGCACTTGTCACAAGCGAAATTATTTTGTTTATTGTGAATTGCGATTCGGTGTGATATCATGCTCGATTCTAGTGCAAATGCCTCCTGACAAATATAACTAACGTGTTGTTTGTCGTTTGAAACAACAATGTCGCGTTTACTTAAATTATTTTCCGAGTCAACTTCTTCGGATTTTTTTTCACATTTATCCATTTTGATGCCTAAAATAAACGTTAGATCTTTCTATCTAGTGACACCGAAATTGAATGAATAAAATTTATCTTTTGGTTTAATGTCTTGCTTTTCAAACTAATTTGTTTTTACTATAAACACAATCAGTTTGTCGAGAGACTATTTCAAAATCGTTTGTGAGCATATTGTTGACAATTAAGTTACCGATTATCTGTTCATATACATTTTGCTTACAATATTTCAGGCAATTTAAAATTTAAACGCGGTGACGACTTTTCCGGAGAATTTTTTGGCCTTCTAAAACTAATTACTTCAAAAAAACTCCCTGAAACATTGAATAAACAATTTTAATATTCATTCCAAAATTGGCCGCCCCCAACGTCATGGTGTGTGTGATTAGCGTGCTCCGTAATCGCCAATGCAGTCTACAAACCATTACGATCCGAATAGGCGACAAAACTACTCACCTGTACGGACTACTATACTTGAAGTTCGCGCACTCGAACAAATTGTGTATGCTCTTCAAAAGTCATAGAGAGATGTGTGCTGTGCATCTGTGCGATGAATTACGAAAAGGATTTTTCCGACGATGGACTTAAAAAATGAGTTTAGATGTTTGATTTTATCACGGCACATCGGCGAGACTAAAGTAATCTTATGACACATATTAAAAACATAAATAATAAAAAAAAAAGATGCTACAGCGCAATTGAAAAAGTTGAAATAATCATAGAAAAGTCGAGTACTCGCACACCCGCAGGTATAGGATATGGGTGGTAAGGGCAGGCAAGCGCGTCCCCCGTGGCTCGTGTGCCTCGTGCCTTCATATATGCCAGCGGCCTGCATATCCCGACACTTTACCTCCACCATGCGCTCGTACCTTACTTACCTTAGTCGTAGGCGCGCACAAAGCTTGTGTACGTACAGTCGTCATTCGACGCCGAGCACCTGCCGCGGCAACCGTGACTCCACGCCGACAGTCCCGACAGTCCCGACAGCCTTTAACAACAAAACAACAACACACGCCGAGCCGCCCTATATACACGACGCACAAGTGCCAAAGCGACTCGTACATTTGCCGGCGGTGTTCTTTTGTCAATTCGGAAGTATCTCTGCATGGAGAGACGAATTTTCGACTGCGAAAAATGAGCCGCCGCGACGAGCTCGTCTTCGAAGTGTTGAGTGCAGCTTGACCCACAGCCACGGTGGATTTTCGCGTTGACGCGTAGACGCCCAGCTACGACCGCTGCTGCACTTCCGACATCGCAAAAGTTGTGTGTGTGCTCGCCTGTACATTTTTTTTTGGTTAAACTGGATATGCTCGAGACCCGATCGGCTATTTACAAGATGATGAACAGTGACGTCAACAGCGATCGCACGGTGAGTTCCAATTATCTGAAAACTTTTTACCGAGCCATCGGTACTTACGCTTACACCTAAATGACAATGAATCGTACGCGCACGACAATAGGTAAATATTACCTTTACGATGCGAGTGTCATTAAAGCGCCAGCGCGATATTATTTCTTTTTATCGACTCGCGCGAGTCTGGACTAACTGCACGTGTGCATCGCAGCAATTGCGCATACAAAAAATAATACCTGCTCACCCTTGCAGAAAATGACAGGATGCAGGACTTTTAAATGCACGTGTGCGAGCTCACTTGCCAACTTTAAATACGTTCGTGTACGTATGTACTTTTTGTATCTTTTTTTAGTGAAAAGTGAAATATTACAAGGACATTGAAAATAATGTAAGACATTACGAAACTGATAAATTTGCATTTATTCCTCGAACCAGCCCCGAATCTTTTATTCAAATATCTACAGATTTAGTGCAGTTTGTATCAATAACGCTTCAAAATCTTGTTCGGTAATGACGTTCACAACTTGATTAAACTTCGTAACAACCACTATGGTCCCTATTTCATCTTTTTGTTTAAAAACATTTAACCAATAATTATTATCTTTTTGCAATTGTGATATTTTTTTAAATAAACTAGCAGGAACCTTTTCTAGTTTTGGTCTTTCATTTTTCAAAGCTTCAAAAAAGAATTCTATCAACGGATTGTTACAAATATCAGTTTTAATGATACATGCCAAGATTTTTTTAAGTTTTTCTAAAACTTCCCATTGCATTCTCTCGGAATTTTTTTCATAGAAAAATTCTAAAATTTCATTAAGGTTTGGATCGTACATATCTATACCTTTTCTTTGGCAGTATTCTGACCATATCTCCAGACATAATTGACCAGTACTTTTTATTTGATTTGAAATAAGACCAATAAATTTGGATGATATATTTTTTTTCTTCAGCCCTATTTCCAAATATGACGAAGGTACTACTTGACTTAGCTTTAAATAACAAAAATCGATTGAAAATGATACTATTAAGGTAGAAATACGTAAAGAAATTGTAACTTACGTTGTTATTATCTATGCTACCTGTAAAATCTCTTCTTGGATTTTCATTTGAACAAGAAGGCCTAGGATTTTCGTAGTTTGTTTGTAACTTGAAAAAAAACATTGATTGAATATAATTAATATGACTAAACAAATGCGTGGAAAGTACGTAAAAATAAAAACTCACGTTATTTTCATCTACGTAAACCGGGAAATCTCTTTGATTTGAACAAGACGGCTGAGGATTTCCATAGTTAACTTCGACTATTGAAAGTATACATTTTTAACTAATCAACTTGTTAAAAAATTGGTTTTAAAAAAACCAATTTTGGTATTTTAAATCGAATACTAACCATGGTTCATTGGACACCGTTGGTCATTATTTGGCTTTGAAATTCTGTCTCTCCTGACTTCTCTGATTATGATGGTGCTACTGCTGCTGCTGACGCTACTCATGCTACTGCTTCTGCTCCTACGCCTGCCGGAGTCCGAAGAAGGCGAACGATGCGATTTTCCATATTTCGATCGCTTATGTCTTGATCTGTCTGACTTATGATGTGTCTTTCCCATGGTAAACTGAAAGAATGAACCACATAATTTACAGGTTGTCTTTTTTGTAAGCTTATCTGAAATAACTTCATAACTTTATTGATAAATATCTTATCATTGGCATAAAAAATTGAAGTCTATTGAATGATAATCATTATTTTTTAAATGTTCATTCTACGTAGATATACGATTGTCGATTTATTGACCAAAGCTTACTTCGTACTATATTTTAAAGATTACCTCTAGCTTTTTTCGAAAAATGTGTCATTTTTAATTTCAAAAGCGTGTACAGTCTGATCGAAATCAGCAAAATATACATTGAAGTTCAACGTTTATCCGCTTATTTGAATTGTAGCCAAATTTAGAAAATGAAAAAACATTCTATTTTCAAAAATAGTTACACGTGGGAATTTTAAATGAATATTTGTGACTTCATTTTTATCAACATAAAGTTAAACTTGTTAAAGCTCACATGAACGTGTACACATTTAAATAAAATCAATTGAGTTTGGGAACATCATTAATAACATTTTTAAAAAGATTTTTTAACGAAAGTATATTTGAAAATTGTCAGATTGATATAGACTTACAAATATTTCAAAATGTTGTAAAATGAATTGAATTCAAATTTAAAAATACAAATATGAAGGCAAATTAAAAGAAAGCAGCTTCCATGATCAAGTTACGCACGCATACAGCATAGGTTTGTAGAATTAATAAGAAATGCGTATCAAGCAGACGTAATTTCTTAATTTCCAAAAAAGATAAGCAAACATTTTTTATCAAATTATTTTTGAGAATTTTACGGAGCTTTTTAATAGAAAGCCAATGTTTTGTTTGCGTAAAGGAAGTAGCGTTATCCGCGCGAAATTTGCCGTTCGTACGCAGCTCGTCGAGGCAAGGTGATATTGAAAACGGAGCATTATATATACACAAACACGAGTCGCGGCAGTGCGTCGAATAAATATGCAAAATATACAAAACAATTAGTACATCATTCCGTACGCGTATGTGCAGTTATATCCTCGCGAGGACACACACGAATATACGCTTGAATAGTCGGGCGAGGGCAGGACCTTTTCATCGAGAGAAAAAATAAAATAAAACAAAGTCCATTGGTCATTTGTAAAATAATAATAACGTCAGGATGAATTGTCGTCAGATACGCAAACTGCCAGCACCGTTCGCAGCCGACAAGACGAACTACCACGAGCGGGACTTTAGCTCGGCGGTGCGGCGTGTTTGCGCGGCTCAGCCGCTCATGCCGCGGATTTCCAAAGTCATAGTCCTCGGGGACGTCGCCACCGGTAAAACAGCCTTGGTCAATCGGTGAGTAAAATTCGTCTCTAACCATATCCTCGCGTGTATGTAATTTTGCCAAACGAGCGCAGTCCTTTCGACAGACTTTGGCCGAGTGGGTGTATGCACTGTGCATGATTTCGAGAGCGAGAGCGATAGAAGATGGCGATAATTACGGCTGCGCGTCTCTCTCGGCTTTCTTCTTTTTTTTCCGCGAGTCGGTGTGCTGCGAGGCAGCAGTAGCAGCAGCGGTTTCAAGGGCTCCAGCGAGCCGTGACTCGAGTTTACGTGCGCCGGCATGCTATATACCTACATGCGCTGTGTATATAGTCCGCGCAGGATGTTGTTGACTAACGCGCCTCGCGATAGAGGGTACACTCGCTGCGTACACACGTACGTGCACGCACACACATCTATCGCGGATGCACGCTACGCATTACACGTATATACGTTCGCATGAAATTCGCTCGGCGCGGCCGGAAGACAGAAGCGGCCCGAGCAGTGGACTTTATCGCGCTCGGTCCCGACCCTTTCATAACTCGCGATCCGCGCCGAGATTTCTTTTCGGGGCTTTCTCAATTCTGCCGCGATGATTTATCGCGCGTATACTTTACCGATCTTTTGCCGTTCTCAGCGAATCGTCCCCCGATCGTTTGATGTCCTTTCGTGAGAAACTCAAATAGCTGCGCGCGCGATGCAATGTAGACGCAGAAGGAAACTCGACGACGAAATCGGATCAAGTATGAAGATCGGTAGAAATTATGTAGCCCCGAATTGGCTACAAAATGAGAGTCTGGCACCGATTTTACCAAGACATTGTTATATTTCAGCCTGCTCGAGCTTGTGCTCGGACTAATCGACGCCTTCTTCACTTTTACGTTAAAATCGTTTCTTTAACAAAGACCATATGCGAATAATTTGTGTGAATTTCAGCTTCTGTCACAAGTCATTCGACTGCAATTACAAAGCGACAATCGGCGTGGATTTCGAAGTCGAGAGATTCGACATTCTCGGAGTTCCTTTCAATCTGCAAATGTAAGTACTCGACGCTCATTAAACTTAGCATGTCGAAGCGATACCCATTAGTTGGTATTCGGGTCTAGATCGTTAACGATCATCGAAGCATCGACGTTACATATTATTCCGAACGAACGACTGACTTTTCTTCGCTTTCGCGCAGAAAATTCAGTCGAGTCCCATCGGATGATTGAAGTACGCAGATTCATGTTTCGCTTTCTATTTGCGCGTTCGCAGATGGGACACAGCGGGCCAGGAGAGATTCAAATGCATCGCGGCTTCGTACTACAGAGGAGCGAACGGTAACGATATACGCGAATGAACTTTTTTCCGATTGACTTTGTGGTTGCGGTGCGAGACGATTATTAAGCAACGTATTATTATCCTTCCGCAGTGATCATGGTCGTGTTCGACTTGGGCAGCCTGATGTCGCTGCACCACTGCGAGCAGTGGCTATCCGAGGCTAATCGAAGCAACAACGGACCCTACCACGTCTTCCTCGTGGGCACGAAACGAGATCTATTGGTCGGTATAGCAGTGCGAATGGAAATTACTCCTAAAAAGTAAAAAATGACGCGCGACGTAATTTTGCAGTCGAACCAGGTGTACGAGATCGTGGAGAAGAAGGCGAGCGACATAGGCCGTCGGATGCACGCCGAGTTCTGGGCCGTGTCGGCGCGAACCGGCGACGGGGTGAACGAGCTGTTTGCCCGGCTGGCGGCTCTGGCCTTCAACGCCAGTGTCCTCAGGGAGATCCAGAGCGTCCGCAAGGAGCCCATCACCTTCGGCACCGACCTTATCCGTGAGTATACATAAATGTTGTCGTTGTATACGATATAATGGCAACCGCCACCGCACACGTGCGACGGTGCACAGCTGCACGTGATGCGTTGAACGAGTTGTCGTGCGGCGGAAGTGCATCGAGCTCCTTGCGTACCTATACGTGTACGAGCGCGCTGCATACAGGGGAAGGAAACGAGTCAAGATAAAGAATAGGCTGCTCGCCGAAAAGTCCGAAGCGAAGCTGCCACGAGCTTCATTGTTCGGGGGTCAGATTATGTACTCTTACGGAGCTCGGATCGCATGTGTTGCAGCTAAAACTGAGACACGTACTCGCATCGCGAAGACTCGCGAGTATCGGCGATTCATCGGCCATCGGCACGAGACGTGCGGTATACAGAAAAAATGTTCTGTCGTGCGTATGATAATAACGCGTATGCGATGTGGGGCCCCCGTGTGTATAACCACGCGAGTCGTCGATTGTTCGCCACTTTGGCGACGAGCCGTCGATCGTATTTATGTACAGCAGCGCATGCATATGCAAAAACGAGACTGAATCACGCGTTGGCCACCTGCTTGACATTCGCGCCACTGCGGCACTATCTTATACGTACGTACACAGCACATGCACGCGTATACGCATACGAATTTCTTTTCTTCTGCTGCTTTTTGCCTGCGCGAACAATGAGTTTGAATATATACGATAAACACACATACGTATCGTGGACTCGCATCGGTGGCAAGTCGCTCTGACGTGATCGTCGATTCCATTATCGCATTGTACAAACGACGCGCTGCACAAGATGCAACTAATTATTGACCCTACTCCACCTGATTTGTGCTCGTACTAATGGTCTTCTTATACGAGCTCTTCTTTCGTTCGAATATTCATGTGGTTCTTTCTCTCTTTACAGGTCTGAATAAAGAGACAAAAAAAGTCAGGACAAAAGACAGAAGGTTACCGAAATGCTCAAATTGTCAAAACTGATGGGATTTCAATCGAGATCTTGCGAGATAGAGTCCAAAGACGGCGCTCGAAGCAGCAAATTTGACACGTTTCGCCGCAATAATTTCTGCATTATAATAGACTAAGTTGATTATATATTTTTCAATGTTATTATCGATAAGTGCGAACATCAACGATTCTACAGTTATCTGTGATGATGCCAATGAGTATGAGAGTTATGCACTGTTTTATAATCGATTTGCCCTCGTATTGAAAGTCTCGGGCGGCAAAGCCTACCGACTGTCATTAACGGCATGGTAACGACTTGACGAAAGTATTTGTACTCATCGAACTATAACTATGTCAATGTATTGTATAAAATATTAATTAAATTAATATTAATGAAATAGCTATAAGCTACAATTTTGTACAAAAATCGGACTTTTCATCAAAATTATTATAATTTACTGTGTTTCGACTTAAATGTTATCCACTCATCAATGATAGAAAGAAAATCTTCAAATTACTTACCGGTAATCGATGTTAGTATAACAAGTTTAATTACTTTTTTCTAATCACAGCGAAAATTCAATTAAAATTAAAATCTTACATTGTGATGAAATTAGTTCACTTTACGTAAGTGAATTTTAGAATTTATAGATTAGAAGTTGGTTCGGAAATTTTCATTTCCATCCTCGTTTCTACATCTCTTGGAATAATGTTTTCGTTTACAATATAAATGACATACTATTGCGCAATAATCACCATTTACAGGATTAAAAGCTGAACTTTAAATTTTATTGTAATTTTTTCGTGGCGAGTATAAAAAACTATCGAATGTGCAGAGTAAAACTGTGCTATTGTTTAATATATCTCTCGCATCGATTAAAATAAGTATAATTTTTCGAGACGACGTAAGGTCTACAATTTGTCAGCGTAAAATTTCAGACGCCGGTCGCAGCACGTGCGTCCGGCCACTGCAGACGCCACCAGGTATACACGCGAGAGTTGGAAGAGGCAAGTTGGAGATTCGCGCGCCTGTTGACTGATAGTATATTACACACAAACATCACAGATAGAGATTCGAGAGAGAGAGAGAGAGAAGCTCCGAAAGACGAGACTGCCGAGTGCTGCGTCGTGACGAATCCGAGCACTACAAGTTCACGCGAGCAGCAGCAGCAACAGTAACAGAGCTATAGCAAAGCAGAGGCCACAACAGTCAGCAGTCTCAGTTGGCAGACGCGTCCCTTCGCGCTTGCTTCATTTCTTTTTCTGCGTGTTTATATGTGCCAGGCATCGCTATCGAACGCTACGCACAGTTAGATAGTTCGATAGACGGACTTTCATTCGTTTACCTGGAACTGGCTCGGGACACAGCAACACTCGGCACAAGTGGCGAACTTGGCGCATCGCGAGTATTTGGCTGCTTCGTCGTGCGAGTAATTTCTCCTCTATACACGTGGTGAACAACGAGTAAATAAGCTGCCGCGCTCCCACTGCGATCCTCTGCCAGTTTCGCCTGCATAAATGCAGTGTCCTGTGAGCGGCACGACGTTCGAGCTTCATTGACAAAAAAGAAAAAGGTAAACACGATCACGACTCCTATAACGATAAGCTTCAAAGTCCGAGCGCCGACGCGAACTGCGTAAATAATCGGCGAAGCGTGTGCGTGAGTGCATTTGTGTGAGATCTCGTGTTGTCGTGTAAGATATATAGATACGACGTGCGTATGCGTGAGTAGAGGATAAGCGAAGCAACGAAAGTGGATAGCATAATTTACTGGGCTCTCTCTCGTCGAGCCTCTCCGTGCAGTCGACTCCGCGCGGCTGATGCAGCCCATTCTATATATCGTGCAGCACACACACGGACGATCACGTGGTATATGTATAATATACACATATAGCGCTATATTCGCTAGCAATAAAAAGTCCCCTCCTGCAACGCGGCGCGGAGCCGAGCCGAGTGTCGTCGCGCGAGCACACGCACACACTCGCTCAGAGCAGCACCTCCAGAGTATATAGCAGACAATCAGGAGCAAAAAAAACTCGTCTGCATCCAAGAGATTACGAGAGAGCAGCCGCTTATACTAGCTGACAAAAGTCGTGTCTCTCGACGTTGCTGCGGCTGCTGCAGTAAGCGAGTAATTGCTGCAGCTCTCCTCGACAAAATCGTCGCGCGTGCACGTCGCGCGCCCCGGCCAATTACGATCGAGCGTATCGAACTCGTCAGCTGTTCCTCGCGTTTCGATTCGTCGTCGCCTATATACCGCACTCGAAGCAGGGGCGGATCCAGAACCAAAGTTTAGGGGGGGCGATAATAAGAAATTTTTTTTTATAAGTTACAAACGTAACACCAAAATTAATCATTAAGATAATTACCAATAGTAACCAAATCAACCCAGTTAAAAATATTTTTAAAAAAAATTAAGTATGCAAACCCAAGTAACCTCAAGTAACCAAATAGATCCAGTTTGTGTAGTTTTAATAATTAAATATTCAAACCCAAGTAACCCTGTGTAACCAGAGTATCCAAATCGATCCAGCTAGAACAGCTTTAATGATCAAATGTGTAACTACAATAAACCCAAGTAACTAAATTGATCAAGTTCGTACAATTTTTGAATAATTAAATAAATGCAAACGCAAGTAATCCCAAAAAATCAAATCAACCCAGCTCGTGCTGTTTATTTATACGTAAATCCGCAGAACTTCTTCAAATAATTTAGGGTCAAAATTCGAGAATGAATGCTCACCTCTGAAATTTTCTCATTTTTTTAAAAAACTTTACAAGAAATAAAAAGCATCCACTGTAATTCAATTTTCACGAACGCTTTGTGTGATCTAGTGATAATTATGGTTTCTACTTACTATATAGTAGAGAGGATGTGGTTAGATTGCTCCTCAAAATGTCCACCTGCCCCTCCACAATTTTCAAAAATGTGAATTTCACGTGATTTTTGCATGATTTTCGCATGTTTTTCACCTTTTTTTAATTATTATTTTCTAACTGCTCCTCAAAAATTCCACTGATCCTTCACTGCTCCTCCACCGTAAATCCACCGGGATACGTGATAGGTACTTTTATATTAATACAAAGGTACTTTTATACATAGGTACTTTTATAATACACAACAAAATATTTCATCGAAATTTTGTCAATTTTCAAATTTTTCTATCTTGGGCTATATCTATCGTATCGACACGAAAGGTACCGCAAAATGTTTAGAAAATGGTGTTGATTTCAGCTAAACGAGGGATTTACGTACTATAAATGGTACCTTCAAATCGACCTACAGGGCGCAAAATCATCGTAAAGAGCTCTATTTCTTTTTTAAATTACTCGTTGAAAAGAGTACTTTGCGATGGTGTATGTTATATTTAAACAAAATATTACTGTGGTACTGGTACACGTTCAAACAATCTTTTTTTTTCAGTAATTTTACGTGTTGCGCTAAAATACTACTGGTAACTCGATATTGACTCGAACCTTATCATAGTATATATGGATTTAAAGAGGACAAGATTTCCAAGGAATCAAAAAAAAATCGTGTCGATACGATTGGTCTGGGAGTGGGCTACCTTCCCGTAGGAAACTATAAGTGGATGGTTGGAATAAGATGTTATCGATAGATTTTGACCCGCTGAGATAAGAACTAGTATTTACACGTGTAAATACAAGCGTTAATTTCTAATGTGGTCGATATGCACTTTGAAATTATAATATTTTCAGTTCATTCACGCATAAAATTAAATAAAAAGAGTACTTAGCATATTGGCAGAGAAATATGCATAACCGTCAGTGGTTCGTAAAATGTTCTTAATAACGAAAGAAATAAAATATTCCGAGACAGTTTCTGAACCGAAACCTCTGCACAAATTACAGCAATAAAGCCTCATAATTTTAAAAACGCTTAAATGGCGGTATCACGACTAAAACTATTGCGAGTTGTGTGATGTGCACAGTGTGCACTGTATCTTAGGAAAAAGTATATTATCAATGATCAAGTTAAATTTTGACTCTCAAAAAGAGTCAAAGTTCCACTGCATGAACTTTTGAATGGGTAATATCGATTAAAATGCAGGCAATATTATGGTATCACAAAGCTGCCAGTTAAACCCCCAATCGGTTAAAAACTCAATCGGTTAAAAACCCAAAAGTTTAAAGGATTTTGGAGAATCGTGATATTTTTCTGCAGTTTTCACTATTCAAAAGCATGTCGAGCGCAAATTATACTTTTTGAAAACTGTTGTCTGGAAGAAGTGCGAGGAGCGCAGTTCATACTTTTTAAACGTGTTTCAAGCGCAGATTACACTTTTTGAAAAAATCGTCACCGCAGAAAATGTGTAAGATGCGCAGGCTACCGGTTTTGGAAATGTGAAATGAGTGCTAAAAAAAGTGTAGCCTATGCTTCATACATCTTTTCTGCTATATTGCGTTTTTACACTTTTTTTTCTGTGACGATTCTTCAAAAAGTGTAATTTGCCCTTGAAAAACTTTTGAATCGTGTAAATTGCACGAGTTTTCCACAGAAACTTTTACACTTTTGGGTTTTTATTGTAGATAAACTACAGCATGTAATCATTGCGATCCAGCTATTGAATTTTTTCTAATTTTTTATGATTCCACATTTGAAAATCAAAAAAAATGGCACAAGCTGAGTATATTCGGATACATACTATAGTTTATCTGTTGTCGAAAAATTTTGAAAGTGTCTGGTCACTTCGATTATTTATTGTTGCATGTTGACGAATAAAAAACCACACGATCTTGAGCAATTTATTTACTTGGGTTACTTAGGTTTGCATATTTAATTATTATAAAAGACAGGAGTTTGATCGATAGGGTTTCTTAGGTTTCTTACAGTTACTTAGGGTTACTTGGGATTGCATATTTAATTATTTGAAAATTGCTTGAGCTAGGTGGGGTTGACTGCTCATGGTTACATAATCAAAGATAAAAAAAATGCACTGACTGGGTCCTTAGGGGGGGCGATCGCCCCCATCGCCCCCCCCCTGGATCCGCCCCTGACTCGAAGAGTTAAAGAGCACTTCGATGATATATATATATATATAATATATATTGTATCGATTGACCTTTGCGCGCCGGACACACACGACTCCGATTGTTTTGGTGCAGAGGCACCTACTCGTATAGTACCGATGATGCGATAGCGGTAATTTGCTCGTGCGGTGCAGTCGGTGCGGCGCGACCTGTAGCGCCTGTGAGTGCAACAGGTGCCCGCCGCGACCATCTTCAGCTTGCACTTGCTCCAAAATTACGCGACGTCTTTCCTATATATAGGCCCGCGCAACATCGGGTGGTCCCTTACTCACGATCCCGGAAACTAACGATGCTCTTCGGTCTGATTGCAAATTGTCGCGCGCGCCGATCGTGCAGCTTGCCGATGCGTAGTTACAAGCCGCAACGATCATCTACCATATATATCGCATTACTTGATAGGCGCGCAAAGTAGCGGCTTATTACTGCGTCTCCGAGTATTTGCGGAAAAATGACGCGTTACGCAATGCCCGCCGAGCAGCGCTATTATACCGTACGACGCGATGACGATGCGTTGCGAGCCGCCGCCGCCGCCGTGTACTCGTATACGCTCACGTCTTACTCTACCATTGTTTGAATCGATTATAATTACGACACCAGCCGCCGCTAAGCTCCGATACTTGTCTATATAGGTGATTGAATTTGTCGAATGGTACGTCTCTTGACAATGACATATGTAAACAGCGAGACCCCATCTAGCATCTTGCTGCGATGTTATGTGTCGTCTTCTCCGTCGCTTAATTTGCAGCCTCATCGTTATTTATTGTTAAAAAAAAAGAAAAGACTTTTATCTTCTCCACGGATCGCTCTGATACGCTTGTCTTTTAGTTTTTCAGATTTGCATAATCCAGGGGTAGACGGCTGCTTCGTTCGAAAGAGGTGAGAGATATATTCACAAAAGGCAGAGATAACGATATCGGCGAATCACGTGGATAAGAGCGAATATATTTTTTTTGTCGTTTATGCTCGATGCGTTGAGTAAGATACACGCATCGATCGAGTGCGATGTACTTGTACATCAAACTAAAAACGGAAACGTTTTACCAATATCTCAGAAAAAACTGCTGGATTTTTCATTTTATTTAATCATTTGATGGCAATTTAAACACCTGCTACGAGGTAGGAGATTTTTCGCGCCAAAGCCCGCCAGAACATGTATCTTTATTTTTTACTGTTTAGCATCCACAGTGCTGAAGAAAACTCGTTCTAGCTGTAGCATTGTTCAAGAATTATCTAATATGGAAAAAAATTTCTCGAGGAAGTCGCGCGCGATATGTCTTTTAACTATAATATAAGCGAGCTTCATTATATAGTTAACGATCAAAGTCGCTATCAAATATGCAAATGCCTCTTTTAGCGTCTCACCTCTTCGTATGTAACTCGTGCACACCGTCACACGCATTCTTGTATCGACCACGTCGATAGACGAGAAAAAATTTCACGTCAGACTCTTATAACGTTTTTTTTGAACCGTTGAATTATTTTCCATATATACGCTCTCTTTCTCTGACGTCGGGGCACGCGATGCACATTGTCGCGTACTAGCGATTTTATATTCATCGATCCTTACGATCGCGAGCGACGCGTTTATCGCGCTCGTAGCGCGACTCGTACGAAAAAAAAACCGAAAGTTGCGAATCGATCGCTGCATCGCTTTTTCCGTTCTATACCGATTACGCTTTTTTTGGACCTCTGTGTCTTTTATTAACATCCGATATTAATTGAGCACCTTTCCGACTCGTTGATTTATTATTTATTTATAACATTCAGATTGTCTATTTTACTCGTTATAATTTTAAATTTTATCTAATCTTTAAATTTCATAAAAATTCATGTCAATACTCGCATGCTAGCGTCAATTTACACGTTGTTAATACTTGCAAGTTTTGTATTTTATTGAAAGACTCAATTTTCTTATTTCAAGAGTATAATATAATATTATATTTCTATCTTCGCAATCGAGTAAATGATAAATTTACCTAAATAAATAAACAACCAATTTTATCGCTGACCGTTTTACTCGTACTTAATTAGTTCAGGCGATGGTTGACAACTATTTCGGAAATTCCTCTCGATTCTTTTTCATTTATATTTTTTAAATTCTTTTTTTTCTACGACAAAATCTCATACATATAAAATTCTCGGTAAGAAGACTCGACGGTCCGCGTGCTATAGAGGTTTTATTTTTTCGAACTACCGTTGACCTTCATACTTTGTAGCTGCAAGGAAATATTAACTCGCACCGGTACGAAGTCGGAAAGATGAAAAATCTTCGCTTCAGTCCCGTTAACTTTGGCAATTTTCATGCCTCTTGTTTACAAAATAATTAACTCGAAGGATTTTGAAGTACAAACGAACGTCGCTAGATTCCATTTATCTGATTCATTCAAAATATAAATTTTTAATAAAAAAAAAAAAAGAGAGAAGAAGTAAGGAGGTCGAGTGCTCGTATAAACAGAAAAAAAGAAGAAGTTGCGTAGGCATCGCGCAAGGTTTCGGTGTACTTGAAAATGCAAACACGAAGGATGCAACACTCGATGCCCGCCAACGAGAAAGGAAGATTCGGGCTTTTTTTCCTGTACGTATACATACATACATACACGTACATAGGCGAGACAGCGAGCGAACATCGACGTGCTTTATGTGACTCGATGTATATAGCAATACTCGAGGATAGAACAAGCGTTTGAAAGCGTATGTGTGTGCAAGCCCATTTGAATTTCCATGATCGTGCGCGTCACACGCCTCGCTACATATTCAAGAGCTCCGGTATGGCGATATACGTGCACGATATGTCTGTGCTGGACGGAGGCAGCGAATTCGTCACGTACGCGCTTTTTCTCTCTCGTATATATGCCATTAACGAAGTGAGGCCTCGTGCTCAGCTCCTCTTCTTTTGCACGTCCACCACGAGAACTCGCTTGTTTGCTTACATTTCGCTTGTTCTCGCACTCTTTCTCTCTCTCGGCTCGTGCGCTGAATTTTTTCCGCGGTCCGCAAACTTTTTACGATGCCGCGGAGCGCGCGCTAAACAATGCTTTACAGAAAACTTGCTAATTTCTGGGGCCTTGGCGCGCGATCGGACAAACAAAAAGCCCCATCGACGGATCGTCGTCCCGACTACGAATAGTCGATTCTCCGTGTATAGGTACCCATTGTTGACCACCGATGCACTTTTATCATCGTATCGTCGATGTTTCTACGCGTTCCTCCTTCTTCGAACAATTTCAATTCGTAAGCGGCATACATTTTTATGTGCTAGAAGACGAAAATTACCCGAATAATAGCGCTCAACTCTTGCTCGGTTCATTGTAGCGCTTAGAGTCCAACTTTTAAGAATATTCTCACGTTATATTATGCTGGAAGCGAAATAATAGATGCTCGATGGTCAAAGTTGAACCAGAATTGAGTCAGAAGCGATGAATCTCGTCGTCGTTGTTATTTGTCATCTTTTCTTTTTAATTTATTTTTATCGTGGCACAGGGTCAGCTGCATTTCTCTCTCATTTCCTTTATCAAACGCTCTAGCGATTACGGATATTAATCAGATCGATCTTTTTCCGGTGCCAAGCAATATGAAAATCGTATCTTTCAAAGGCGTGAAAAATTAATTAATCGATGAAATCGTTTGATGCTTAAAGGAAAATCTCAGCAGTTGGAGTACAAATCATTGGCCTCGGAAACTAGAAGCACACACACACACACACTTGCGCTAAGTGCACCTTACACGGACTAATGGACTTTTGGCGAATCGAGAAAATTCCGTGGCGGGAGATCGGTATTCGTGTGCGTGTGTGTGCAGCAAAGTGGCACTTGACAGTCGGCTTTAGGCCCGCGGGCCGATGCAGACGCGCAAGCGCGACCGACGATTATTATCCCCCGCGACAGACAGCTCCCGCCGCCACCGTGTAAACTGACTCGCGCTTCTCGTGCGCTTACGCTGTCGGTTTCGCTTGATCGTGCAGTCGACTCTCGAGCTCGGAGCCGCGCACCTTTGACGACTTCGCGTTAATAATATACAAAAGTCGCGCGCCGCTCCTCCTTCTCGTCGGGCAGGGCCACAGTCGACGTATGCTCGCCAGTCGTCGGGACGCAGGTCTTCCGGGCGCATCGATATCGCACGAAACCCAAACGCGTCGCGCTTATTACGATAAAACATTGTACTGTATCTGCTGACACTGCGTCGAATCGGTGGTGAACGTTATCTTCGATAATTGACAATTGTGCTTTTTTTTTTTGACTCTGCATCTTCCGTCGCAAGTTGGCATCGAATTCAAGCATGGATTTCCCTGTAAGTACATTAACGACAAACACTCATCTCCTACCGTTGGTTCGTCGTATTTTTCCTGCAGTGATTATATTCCGCCAAAACAACGATAAGGATAAAACGTATCTGCTCTTTCGCAAAACTTGCACTTATTTTAAATAGCCGGTAGTCGCGTCGATCTCGATCTTCGTACTCGATCCGCACGCACTGCACACGATTCGTCGACGTCCGTGCGTAACGCGACTCCTGTGCGGCGACAAAACGAAAAGGTATCGGTAGCGATACGGAATCTCACTTAGATTTCCCGGCAACTTTCGCCAAAGGGATGCGTGCCGCGCCGTCTTGTTCTCATTCGAGCACATACATAACGCGCGAACTCCGCGGTGAAAGTGTCCAACCGATCGTGTGCGCGTTTCAGTTTCGATCTCCGCGTGTACATAGTCATTCGATCTGCTGCAATGTGCAGGCAACATTGCGCGACTGCATATATCGCGATTATGTATATTTCGAGCACGATACATCCCGAGTAATAACATCGATTGTTTATTATCGTTGGCTGGATTTTTCGATCGGACGTGCACGAGACTCGACGATAATATAATTTTCCTGACACAAAACTCGTACAAAGTAAACTTGTATTGTATATACACTCGCTGAGAATTGAATATGTGCAGCGTCAGCGTGCGAAATTATTTCCTGCGGTTTATTGAAAATAACGTTTACTCGATTAAGAAACGCTCGATCGAGCGAGCTTTGCGTACTCAAGGTGTGTTATGTCAAAGTTTGCGATAATTATATTCTCTAACGCGATCGAAAAAATCGAGTTTTAAACTCGATCAATTGCCGTAAGATTGTAGTTCTGATTGGGTTGAATTATCAAATTATATTTAAGCGTTTCATACGAGGATAAATCACAACTTTTGTTATTTTCTTGCAACAAAAGATGTTTCAAATGCTTGAACTGTCTTGGTCGATTCAAACGGTGAAAAAGATTATTCAATTCACTTGACAAGTTGTCACTCATGACGGAAAATGAGGAAAATGCACTTTTGACGTCACCTCGTATTACGCAATGTGTGTCTCACAACCTCCGCGTGTATATATTGTTAGGTGTTCAATCGATCTTCTGGAAGTATTATACAATTTTACACTTTGATATCTACGTTATTAACACTTTATACTTGCATATCATGAAAATCTTCAGCTAAATGTGACTTTTTAAATATAACAGTACAACTTGTAAGTAAGCATAAAAATTATTTATCGCGTTTTTTTTGTGTCATTATCATTCGCAATCATTACTCGATTTGTAATCACTTCGAATCCGGCTTGGTAAAAAAGTAATGTTGCTGAAAAACTAGTTTCCTCAAGAAAAACTACTGTGTTCTATAAACTAGAATCGTTTCATCATTGATCATTTTCGTCAACTTTTAGTTTGATTATTATAATGAATTTCGCGACACCGATGATTATTTGCGCGCAAAAAATAATTTTGTCACTTTTTTCAATTCAAGTAATATCGAATTTTTTGCGAATTTATCGTAAACATGCGTCGAATATTAAGGAAACATTTAAGCACTTTAACATTGTCGAAATTCGATTCTTTGGTATAGCATCATCATGATCTTGTGTTTTAATTTCGTTCGACACGTGCATTGTGATTCATGCGTTGGAGACTTTTTTCGCTTTAAAGTTTTGGAATTCAATGCCTTTTGCCGGTCAGAGAAATACTTGATAATTGATCGTTCATTTTTATTCGATTCTTTTTCGCATTATTCACATCCTAAGTGAAGTTTAAGCTCTTTTCATTATTATGTCATCGCTTATGAAATTCCTTTATAATTATAGCGCAGTTCCGTCTCAAGGAAATAATTGCCGTGATTATGACTGCAAGAAACTCAAAAACTGCAATCAAATCCAATCGTTGCGTTCGTGGCAGAAAAGTTAGCGTCATTAATCATTTTTATTATGCAACGCGTCGATAGGGAACAGCACGCACGCATACAAGTGTCAAGTGCACGAAACAGATGCAGTTGAAGGTTTCTTCCTCGTGCACAACGAACTTTACGCGCAACGAACTTTTGTAATAATCATTTTCGCTGCGAAATTAGTAAGATTCAAAGTGAAATTTCATATTTTTAAAATTACATTTATTGCTTTCGATTGTATTATTACCTGAACTGAATGTGCATTTGGTAAATGAATAAAATTTGTTGTGATGTTTGAATTAAAAACTCCTTTATTGTGTGAATTTTTACTTTGATCAAGTAGCATTTTAGAGGGTCCCTTTTATTCGAATTTTTATCTTAAAAATGTATCATCGCATGGTCAATGAAAGCATCAACGATGACATTTAATGATCAAGTGCCACACAAACCGGTTTCGTATAAAAATACTTTTTTTAACTCAAGCATTAATAATATTAAATCAAAATAATAGTCTCATAGTTTGCAGGCATTTAGTCGGGAAGGTCGTACTACGATCGAAAGTTTAAAATGTAGAACAAAAATTAACGCATGAATTTGACTTGTACTGGAATACAAAAACTAGTTAAAATCATTTCAGGATAGAAATCATTTGAAATCCAATGAAAGTGATTATGATCGATTTTATCGAGGGATATAAGTCTATAATTAGTAAAAATATTTAAATTCCTAAAGATTTTTACGTAATATATAGTTGATCGTGACTTATATGACCAATATTCTAATTAATTAGTCAGTACATTGACGTAATTGATATTGGTTTGTAGATCTTTCATCGTGATATTTTGATTTGAACTTTATTCTTCAAAATCGGGAATTATAAGCGCGTTTGCGGAAGTTAATGTAAATATGGTAATATTTAATGATTTTGCATGTTGGAAAATGACATATATTCGGAAACGTTACTAGTACTTTCAATTTCTGTGAAGTTAAAAATGTAGAGCATGGTGCCAAAGCCAATACGTACCAATAAGTATCAAGAGAGTTTTTATGCAAAATTCAATTCTCTGAGTTTATTCATATCCACTTTAAAATGATGCAGCTGACATAAATTTTTATACGTACTTCATTTTTAGACAATTTTCAATTATACTCTATAGATTTTTTTACATCTTTATCAAGAAAATAAATAAATAAAAATAAATGAATTTAAAATTGAAAATGATATTTTATTAATTGAAATAGAAAAAAACTTATAGGAATTTTGCTCTGACAATTTCATTCGGATAAATAATGATGTTCCCGAAAATAGACGATTAGAAAATATGAATTTGGAAAAATGAAAAGTAAACACACAAAATTAGGCTTGATAACTCGAATTGTATTTCACTTCACAGTGTCACGTTGATCTCGGTAGCGCAGTCACGATTGTGATATAATAACTTTGCAATACTTTGGATTATTCAATCCTTTAACGAGCAGCTTGTCGACGCACACCTCTTGCAAAAATACGTAAGGATGAGAATCATGAGTCAGCAAATTTTTAGTAATCGCGACGAGACACAAGCATTCAACATCACTCGGCGGGCAGCCGCTTGAACCTGGTGCCGGAGCTCTCGAAGATTTTTCTTTTTGAGAAAAAAAAAAGTGTATCGTTAGTGACGCGTCGCCGAGTCGTCGCGTGTTTACGAAAACGCGGATCCCCTATCGGAACATCGGTTAATCGCCTCACGCAGCATACCGGTTTCTCTGGATCGCTCGTAGGCAAGTTTTTGCCACCGCGCCTCGGCGCGTTAAAGACTTATTTTGCCCTTTTTTTTTCGTCGGTTTCAACTGCGACGAACTTGACTGTGAACCAGGCTTGGCGCACGCCTTCTGAGTTTGAGAGTTATATCGTGTAAATATAAGGATCGCTTAGAACTATTGCATTATTTACAATTCGTTAAGCGGTTTTGTTCAGCGGATTATTTTACTGCTCCTTTTTTAGCGCATTCGGTCGTAAAGAGAGTTCGAGTGACTTTCACTGTTAAGAAGGAATTTCCGAGCGCTGCGGCTGCTACTGCTGCAGTCGCGTGCCTAAGCGAATAAACATTTCTGGTCTCTCCGAGCCACTCGGTTGCGTTGCGTCGAAAAACCGAGCGCTCCGTATCGCAGCTCGAAACTTTTTACGAACTTTTTTGCTACGATACTTAACCCACATATTTCTTTTTATTTAAAAAAATTGAATCTAAAAATGGTGAATTCGATACGTTATCGAACTAACTTTAGACAAAAAAAATGACTGATTCGAGTGATTTGGTTGATTTATTGCAGACAGCTGAAGCATCCCAGCCAAAAGCCGTGAAAATCATGAGTTCACCTGTACTTCCGAACATGGACGGAGCCGAAGCCGAAATGAGCGAGCCTCTCTTCAGCATCCTCGACCTGTTGCTGCTGGGGTCTCTCTTGTTCGGTGCCCTGTGGTGGCTGCTGAGGAGGAAAAAGGACAGCTCGCCGAGCAATGCCGCCAAGTCCTACAGCATTCAGTAATATATACTACATTATACATTGTCTAATTGACTTTCGTTTTAGTGGAAGGTAATTTAATTCGAGGCGTTGGCTACTTTTCTTCTCTCTCTAGGCCCGTCACGACGAGCGCGTCGATAACGCCGGCGGAAAATTCCTTCATCAAAAAGCTCAAGACGTCCGGCAGGAGCCTCGTGGTGTTCTACGGCAGCCAGACCGGCACCGCGGAAGAGTTCGCCGGTCGCCTCGCCAAGGAGGGCATCCGCTACAAGCTCAAGGGCATGGTGGCCGACCCCGAGGAGTGCGACATGGAGGAGCTCATCAATCTCAAGGACATCCCCAATAGTCTGGCCGTGTTCTGCTTGGCCACCTACGGCGAGGGTGATCCCACCGACAACGCCATGGAATTCGTCGACTGGCTCAAGAACGGCGACGCCGATCTCAACGGTCTCAATTACGCCGTGAGTGTGTGCGCTGCAGCGAGCAGCCAACGATACTTTTACTACCGTGCGGACTCGGCATTTTTTTCCGTCGCACTTTTTCCACTCGCTCTCTTTCGCTCTTTTTCTCACTGTAAACCGATCTAGCGTTCCCTTTTTGAACGAGGTTTTTTTCCAATTCTTTTTTTTTGCCATCGATGACGCGCTCAAAATTTACGATATCGGTTGCGCGGACGATAATGTGTGCTCGCTAGTGTACGATACTTGCAAATTTCTTTGAACTACTCGGCTTTTTCGTTACGAAAGTTGGCGCAAGCCGCGATTATCAGTCGACAGCGCTCGATAATGAGACATTTGTTTCCAATCGTACTGAAATGCACGCGGAGCACGGCCAGACTTTTTTCCACTCCGAAAAATGGGAGAGTCGAGAATTTCGCGTCTCTGGTCCCGCTTTGCTTGCTCATAATATTATATTATATTGTTACGTGCGCGCGACGTTGTCGTCTCTCTCTCTCTCTCTCCCTCTTGTCGCGACTCGTGTGTCGTCTGCACACAGCGAGCCAGAAATGATCGTCTGCTAGCGAGCAGCCGACTCCGAAACCGTACTATTCTCATCTAGTCGCAAATCTGCTCGCATGTGTGCACAAATCATGCACAGAACAGACATTCGTCGTGTCCGTTGATTTTTGCCGTGGTCGTCGTCGTCGTCGCGCGTTTCTTCCGTCGAGACTTGCCGAGCACACACGCAGACTTTGGCACGATTATGTAACGACGCCGTAACGAGCCGACACGACTTACGTATCACCAGCGACACGGACGATTTTCTTGCATGCACCTGTCCGCGAGCGCGAGAGATCAGAGGTTAACGACTACTACTGACTGCCGTCTATGTGCTTGACTTTGTCGGCCCGTGCGTGTATGTGTAATACATGTGTATTATATATATATAAAAACAAAGCATATATACAGCTACATATATATAATATCATTGCGCATACAGTAGTACATGCACGTGTGCCTGTACTCTGGATATGAGTCAAGATGCGAGCAGCGGTCAAATCGTTAATAGCGCGAGTCGCGAAACGTTACCTTGTCGAAGCTCACTTTGCTCGCTATAATGTTAATGCCCTCGAAATTGCAGCTTCTTCTTCCTTCAATTCCGAGGTTAGACATGGTTTTTTTTTTTTAATTTCATTATTCTTTACGAGGTGACAATTTCATTACGTCGGCCTTCATTTCAATTTGCCATTGATGCACTTGTCACAAGTATCGCACTGTGCCGATATCAATTTCTCAGCATGACTTGCGAAAATTTATCGTCATCAGTAAACACGATATTGCATTATTTAGCGTGAAAATATTTTTTGTCACACAAAATTTCACTTGCGTAAAAAGAGTTTTTTGCATTAAAAATCATGAGCTGTACCATTAATAAAATCAAATTAACTCATTTTATATTGATTCATTTATTAATTTTTTTCATATAAATTTTTGAATTAAAATGTTCCAACTTCTTCAATTAATTTTTTAACATTTTATTTCAGGTGTTTGGATTGGGTAACAAAACTTATGAGCACTACAATGAAATTGCCCTTTTTGTTGATCACAAACTTGAGCAGCTTGGTGCTAATCGTGTCTATGAATGTGGTCTTGGAGATGACGATGCCAAGTGAGTAATTTTTCTGCTGACTTTTTATGTATGAATTGTTTTTAAAATTTCATCGATGATTCTCCATAGCATTGAAGATGATTTTCTTACTTGGAAAGAAAAGTTCTGGCCTGCAGTCTGTGAATATTTTAATATTGAACCAGCTGCGGAAGAATTTAGTGTTCGTCAATACAAACTTACAGAACATGTTGATATGCCAGCTGAAAAAGTTTTCAGGGGCGAAATTGCTAGACTCAATGCTTTTCAAAATCAAAGACCGTAAGAATTTTAATTATGCACCAAAATCATATTTAAACTTTTATTCATATAATGGTTAATTATTGCAGACCATTTGATGCTAAGAACCCTTTCTTGGCACCTGTGTTGGTAAATCGAGAATTACATGGTCCTTCTTCAACTCGATCTTGTATGCATATTGAATTTGACATAAATGGATCTAAAATGAGATATGATGCTGGTGATCATTTAGCTGTATATCCAACTAATAATGCTGAACTTGTTAATAAAATTGGTGAAAAATGTCAGGCTGATTTGGATCAAGTTATAAGTTTGGATAATACTGATGGTAAGAAGATTAAAAATTTTTAATTTCGAATAAAAATACATACTTTACTTTTTTTATTACAGAGGAAAGTACTAAGAAAAATCCTTTCCCGTGCCCATGTACCTACAGAACTGCTTTGACTCATTACTTGGATATTACTAACAACCCAAGAACTCATGTATTGAAAGAATTAGCTGAGTACTGTAGTGATCCAGCTGATAAAGAAAAACTATTAAAGATGTCTTCTACTACTCCTGAGGGTAAAGCTCTGTTTCAGCAATGGATCACTCATGAAAACCGAAATATTGTTCATATCTTAGAAGATATTCCGAGTTGCAAGCCTGCATTAGATCATTTATGTGAACTGCTGCCTAGATTGCAGTGTCGTTATTATTCGATTTCTTCATCTCCAAAGGTATTTGAAACAAAACTCTTATTTATAAGCTGTTTTTGAAAGATTCAATTTATTTTGATTATCCACTTAATTTTTTGTCTCTCTGTCTTTCAGTTACATCCGACAGCAATTCATATTACTGCTGTTGTTGTGGAATACAAAACTCCGACCGGCCGAATTAACCGGGGTGTTACAACTTCATGGCTGAAAGAAAAGCATCCATCTGATCCACCTGCCTTAGTGCCAATTTTCGTTCGAAAGTCTCAATTCCGTTTGCCATCGCGCACTACCACTCCTGTGATCATGGTTGGTCCAGGAACTGGTATTGCACCATTTAGGGCGTTCATTCAAGAGCGAGATGTAGCAAAAAGAGAGGGTAAGTTTAGTGTCAAAAATTTATTAAGTTTCAACAATTTTCAATTTACTTCAGAGATTTATTTTATTTTTAGGTAAACCAGTTGGTGATACAGTTCTTTACTTTGGTTGCCGAAAACGCGACGAAGATTATCTGTACCAAGAGGAGCTGCAGCAATATGTCGATAGTGGAACATTGATTTTGCATACAGCTTTTAGTAGAGAACAAGCAAATAAAGTTTATGTTACTCATTTACTTGAACAAAATAAAGATGAGATATGGGATGTGATTGGTAAGAAGAACGGTCACATTTATGTGTGTGGGTGAGTAAAATTTTGAAAAAATTATTGAAATTCTATTAAAATATAAATTTTCGATTATTACATTAATATTTAATGATTATTCAGAGATGCACGTAATATGGCTAGAGACGTTCACAATATTCTGCTGAAGGTTGTGATGGAAAAAGGAAACATGAGTGAGCTTCAAGCAGCTGATTACATAAAAAAGATGGACTCACAAAAGCGTTATTCTACCGACGTATGGAGTTGAATGTAAATAAAGAAAAGTCTGTAAATGTTAGATTTACTATTGCGTATGAGTGGTTGGATCACTGCAATTATACAAAGTGCCTGAGAAGATATATGAAATCTTCAATTATTTTTTATGATAAGAATGAAAACTACAACAAGCTATTGTTAACATATACTTAGGTATAACGTATTTTTTGTGATGAAATTACCACTCCATCACGCTATTTAGAGACGTGCATACGTATTATTTGTTGACACATGTGTACATATGGGTGACTAAAATATCTTGTTAGCCAAATCTATTGTGATAACGATATACATATGTTATTAGATAATTTTACATAGCTATCTAGATAGAAATTTATTATGTAATTGAATAAATATGAATTTTTTAGCTGTTATGATTTTAATATTTTTCTAGAAACTGTTAAAATATCAAGTTTTTAAACTATAAATCGTATTAACATTAACCATCAAAATGCAAAAAAAAAAAAAATTGTACGGTATAAATAGCAGTCAAAAGCATTATGTTTATACAAAATGTTGGATTTTTATAAACAAGTAGATAACTGAATTTTTAGATTTATAGTTGCAACAAGTTGGATTAATGAAATATTATATTGATGTACAAACTTTTTTGCTAATTTTTAATAAATGTATATTTTGAATTTATACATAAGATTATACAATAAGTCGACTTTTATACACTTCTAATGGGAAGTATGATAAAGATTCAGAAGATGGCTAGATGCCGTAGTTCTTATAACATACATGAATATACACTGTAAAAAAAATAAATGAAATATGTTAACAAATAAATAATTTAATTTATTAAAAACTACCTTTTTCAAATAAACGCTATTTATTATAAAACTATTTCCTATTTTTAAATATTTAATAATATTTTTAGTTAAAATTATACATTCGATCTTATTTTTTCACGGAATACAATTTTAATTTACCTGCTGGTATTGCGAATTAAAACTAAAATAATATTTCACAATTAATTGAGAATTTTTATTGATAATCAGTGGAGACAATTTAAAAGATAGTTTAAATATATAGTATAGTTATTTTTTAGAATTGAATATCAAAACTTCTTTATCAGCAATTGAATTAAAAAGGCTATCAAATTTTAATTGATGAAGATTACATGATTGAATTGCATTGTTTTTAAAAGTCGATTGAATATAATAGGAGTCTCAGTTCAAGTTTCTCTACAGTGAGCTCTTGCCAAGAGATCATGATTTTTTGAAGAGTAAGTCCTATTTTGCGATGCACATGAGGATTTTTTTTATAAACCCTATATACTCTGATACCCGAACAAATTACTTTATGTTTATAAATACCTTATGAATGTTCAATTCCGGGGGTCATCCCATAAGGCTAATGTAAAAAATTTTATACTTTGAGATGAAATAACTCAAGATTTTGAAGCGTAAGCCACATAAACAAATACACCATTGGATTTCGCGTGATGTAATCTATCGAATAGAGTAGGTCTCATTTCTCAAAAAATCTTGAAAGAACCTCTTTAATGGTTCAAGTGAATTAAATTTCCCGGTATAGAAAGTATTCGACCAATCAGCGCTCCACTTTTAGTACTTCGTATGGCTTTTTGTTATTGAATGAATCTGATTGGCCGATGCTCAACTAACCTCCTGAAGCCATGTGTTATGTGTGCTACACTAGTGTAAACGTGTTTCATATTGGAGTCTTTTGGTCGAAGAACCGGCTACGATAAGGTCTTGTGCATTTTCATTTTTACTCCCAAAAGCTTATAAATCGTGAAATTAACAATAATCATGTGAAAATTATCAATACCAGTGGTGTCAAGACCACTTTAATTATTAGTTAACATGAGGGTCGGAAATTGTTTATTTCTTAATGACTACGGTTTGAATTTCATTTTTTCAAGCTGCTTATACTTATTGTGCATTCATTTTCGTTGTTGAAGTTGAAATAATTTTAGTGGAGTGTTCAAATTGTTTATTTTAACATAGGTTACAACATTTCCTCATGTGACTAAATTTAAAATTCAATTGTAAATATGGTTTACAACTAGCGAGGTTATGGTAATTTTCACATGAATGTATGATTTAAATGTAGATTTAATGAACTATCACATGAGTATTAAGGAGCCAAGTTAGAAGGATTTTAACTAATTGAAAATTTGTATTAATTTACACAGTTAAAATGAAGCTGAACAAGTTAGTCAGTTCATCCAGGAGGAAAAGCAGGAAGGCGCACTTCACTGCCCCTTCACACATCAGAAGGCGGCTCATGTCAGCTCCTCTCTCAAAGGAACTGAGAACAAAATACAATGTTCGCAGTATGCCAATCCGTAAAGATGATGAAGTCCAGGTACAATGATTTAAAGTAACTAATTTCGCTCATTAGTACTATTATTTCCCAATATTAAGTTATGTTAGAATTATAAAATTGTAAAAACTCTTGTAAGATACTACTTCAAAATGATGATCCAAACCATTCACATAAATTGTGTAATGAATTGTTCTTTAACATTGTTTTTGAGGTTTTCTCATTAACAGTGTTGGGTTCAATTATATTCTCAATTGATGCAGAAAAAATGGCACTGACATTTATGTCAAAGATTAATTACAATTTCTTTTAATAATAATCAGTTATTGATAAATATTTTTATTTTTGATTAAAGGTCGTTCGTGGTCATTACAAAGGACAACAAGTTGGAAAAGTTATCCAGGTATATCGCAAAAAATTTGTGATCTACATTGAACGCATCCAGAGAGAAAAGAGCAATGGCTCCTCCGTTCAAGTTGGCATTGACCCATCAAAGGTAAGAAAAGATTTAAATTTTTATTGTATATTAATTTCTCATAGTGGGAACATTTATTTTGAAACTGAATGATGATCCAAACCATTCACATAGGATCATACTGAATATTATAAGTAAGTCAGTAATTAGGTTTTCTAGTTATTTGACAAGCTTGTATTACTAAGTTTGAACACTGCAGAGTAATTGGCACTGATTGAAAATTGAAAAATTTTTTATTGAAAACCTTAAATTGATATATATTTTTGACAATCAATTTTTTTCTTCATAGGTTGTCATTGTCAAATTGAAAATGGACCGAAACAGAAAGGACATCATTGACAGGAGAAGCAAGGGTCGTCTGGCTGCCTTGGGCAAAGACAAAGGCAAATACAAGGAAGATGCCGCTACTCCTATGGAGTCGTAAACATCATTTTTCTTATGATATTAAATAAAATCTTCAATATATATAAGAAACCATCAGTTTTTTTATTTAAAACAAAAACATCAATGACTATTCGCAGAAAAACAGATAAAATGAATAATTGCTAGTATTGAAATGTTAAAGCTAATAGCCCTTGTAAATTGTACACAATAAAAGCTAACGAGCGATCATAATACTATGGTATTACACGTATTACCGACAGCATGTGTCTTATGAACCGAGTCAAGTACACGGTCACTGCTCGCTGCAGATTTAATGCATAGGTGCGCGAACTTTCGATAGTAAATTGACTGCATCCGCATTCCATTTCCACGCGCGCGCGAGCGAGCGCAGCCCAACGCGGGGAGACAGACAGCATCGGCCGTGCGTCGCAACAGCTGTGCGTGAAAAGTTCGCGTCGCGTATCATACTTCGCGCGAATTAAGAGTGTAAACGTAAAAAGAACGTATCGAGATCTCGAGCGAGCGTTGTTTGCCGCATATATAGGAGGCAGGAGGTCGATACGCGCAGGTGGACATGGGGCGAGTGGAGGGACCAGTCCGGAAGACCATTGGCCTGCAGGACGCGTGAAAAAGTCCAGCCTGCGCTCGCTCTGCACCGTAGAGGATCGATCAGCGCTCGTCGCGCACACAGTATCCGCAGGTGTTTTTCATCGCATATAATACGCTGCTCGCTACTGCTGCGGCACGTGTTGCAATCGCAGAAACTCCGCGAGAGACTGCATACTGCATATCGCTGCGAGTGCTCGTGTGTGCAGTGCGGCCGTCATAGAGCACCGCAGTTCTACAAACAATCGCTGCTATTTACCAACTCAACAAGTGTCAATGATAGTTGCGAGCGAGTATCAAGCAAACGAGGAAATACAAAGTAGTAACGTCATAGACATCCTGTTGTTGTGTGGGTGTGTGCGTGCGTGCGCGCCTGTGTGTGTGTATTTGCCACCGGGGTTCGGAACACTGCGAGGACGCCAGATGCCTGCCAGTCGCTAAATCCGCCTACGCGCACGATATTTTCTGCTCACCTTTCTATCGTTTGGCAGTGACGCTCGTATCATGCTAGGAAGCGATAAGAGTTTCGACAGACTGGCCGCGGAGAAGAACTCTACCTGCTGTTGTTCTCTAAATAGTGGGCCGACACCCGATCGATAATAATATAACACGGCATCGAGCCTGGAGCGAATACTTTAAAGCTGACGTTAAAAGTTTATTTTACCTAATTCAATTCGAGCTGCTGCTGCTGCTGTTTCTCTATCGCGTGTGCAGTCTTATTAGCGCGATCAGTATAAGCAGTGTGACACGCGGCGCAACGATTAAGTCAACAACCCGCGAGACACTCTCGCGCATAACTACCTGTCGAGTGTCGAGCGCGTCGAGGCCAGCTGCACTTGCGACTTATCGAGTTATGATTTTCCAGCTTCGGAGCTTCCATTGAGAGAAGGATTCGGCCGCAGCTCGACTAATGACGAGTAAGCTGCCGCTGCAAGCTGCTGATCAAAATGAAGCAGCTAAATTTCAAATTTTATCCTTGCCTGCTTCTTTTGCTCCTAATTCTCAGATCATCTGCTAACGGAGCTAACGAAAATGTAAGTTTACCATCGTCGCTTATCAACGTATCGCACCATCGTAGCATTGAATGAATGTAAAAAATTAATTTTTCATCCCTATAGTTTCCAGCACATCATTTAGAGGATCAAAAGTTTCCATCCGAAGAGTATGAAGATTCGGAAATCGACGAAAGGGACTCACCCCCAGGAAATTCACCTTTCGTTCAATATGATCAAATTTTGCCTAAAGAAACTGCTCTTCCTTACAATCCACAGCCCATACAAAACTTGAATCCTAGTAAGAGCTCAACATATCTATTGTATTATTTTAGAAATTTTTCATTGCTAAAATTTACTTACCACTTTTTATTTACAGATATAAAATACGACCAAAGATGGGGTGAAAACTTAAATGTAAGACAAATATCAGCAGTTTCAATAGATCCTAAAGGTAACATAGGTATATTTCATAGAGGGCACCGTGTTTGGGATGCATCAACTTTTAGCGTTGATAACAAATTCGATGTGAACCAGGGGCCCATTAAACAATCTACAATAATGTTATTAGACAAGTCTGGCCGGGTGCTACAAGAATGGGGAAGAGCTATGTTTTATCTTCCCCATGGTTTAACTATAGATTCTTATGGAAATTATTGGATTACAGATGTAGCCATGCATCAAGTTTTTAAATTTGATGTAAAGGATATTGAACAATATCAAACAAAATCATCTTATACTTATGACGCTAAACCTTTAAAGCCATCATTATCACTGGGAGAAGCTTTTCAACCAGGCAATGATCATTACAGATTTTGTAAGCCAACTGCAGTAGCTGTACAAAGCAATGGTGATTTTTTTGTAAGCGATGGTTATTGCAATTCAAGAATTATTAAATTTAATAAAAATGGTGAGAGAATTGATGAGTGGGGAAGAACTTGGGGATTTGAAGGTATACAATTTGAATTATTTTTAATATTCATATTTATAATATTTGCTTGTGGTAGTTACATAAGTGTTAAATATTGATAGGGTACATATAAATACTTTGTGTTAATAATGTTGTAGGTAGAGAATTGTACAAAAGACCACCACCTATAAATGCATTTTTGGTCCCTCATGCACTAGCACTTGACGAAGAACATGGATATTTATATATTGCAGATAGAGAAAATAATAGAGTTGTTTGTAGTTATGCAACTAATGGAACAATTCACAAAGAATTCAAAAACGATCAATTTGGTGGTCCAGTCTACAGTATTGCCTATGCTAATAATAGATTATACTTGGTCAATGGCAAAAGATTTGATAATAAACATGTACATGTTCGAGGATACGTTTTAGATGTAAATACTGGAAAGTTATTGTCAGAATTTGCACCAAACATGGATATGGATAGTCCTCATGACATAGCAGTATCACAAGATGAAAAAGAAATATATGTCGTTGAATTGAATATTCAGAGAGTTTATAAATTTAATCAAGGTAATTATTAATTTTATCATCATTCCTATGTGTAATTTTAAAAAATAAATAAAATAATGAGTCAAATTTTTTTCAATTATGATTTTTAGATGTTAAAACATTAAAAATTGAACCAAAAGTAGTTCAATTGAAAAATGTGACTGAAGTTCGATCAGCTGAACTTTTAGATAATGGGGCAGTAGTCAAAGTCCCTGAAAAATCGTCACAAAAATTTATGGTAATTATTGCCGTTATTTTTGCCATTGTCTTCATCGGGCTCTGCATTTTCCTCGCCGCTCTATTAGCCAAGTACCAGAAAAAAGGTAGAACATCAAGATATGGTGAACCTATTGTTGAATTTAGTGCATTAGATGATGCTTAGATGACTTGAAGTTATCCAGCTTTGTAACTTCAATTTTTTTTATGTACAGTGGAGTTATAATTGACTTTTATGTTTTATTATGTAATGTTTATTGATTCAGTTTGCTGCCTCGTAAAATCGTCAAAATTTATTATCCAGTTATGACACAAATATTTAATTTTATTCAGCTGGATTCTGATAATTAAATTAAATTTTGACGAAGTCAGAGGATATTTTTTAAAGTATATTATTTTTATTGGTGCTTAAAACTAAATTTGTCTTGATACTTTAAAGAATTTGTATATAAATGTATGCTTGATTATGTTAGAACGCTTCAATTTAGAATTTTGCACGACTCTATTGTATTATAAATAGTAGAAAAATTGTCGACCAACTTACGAATAATAACGTTTTTGTGTATACAAGTTCAATCGATATTTATGCTTGATGCACAAAAATGTCTAATAATTATTTTTGCTTTACAAGCAAAATTATTGTTGCACTTTTTTTGTTTGATGTGTCGTTTTTTGAGTATATATATTTTTAGCACATTTATGTTTCATAGTACTTAATTGACTTGTAATAAATGTTTTGTTATTCTTCAAAGCTAATTATGTTTTCTAAGCTCGATTTTAATCATGCCTTTATTGCGACGAATAAAATAATTTGTTAACGGCAGGTTGTTTATATCCGTGCTGTAAGAATAGATCAAACTATGACAGCGGAAGAAACGATGCCATCAAACTATCAAGTTTTCTCGAAGCTCGTCGAAGATTCAATTTTTTCGAGAAACGGCCAAACACACGAGATTTCAGTAAAGTGAACACAGAACCAGAGACTTCAGATGAAGAGGTTGGTGAAAATAATACAGAAAGAATCGTGTGAAAAACATTTAAACGAGTTTTTGTGGGAAAGTCTGATTATGTTTAACTCCAAAACAATAATTTTATTTTATTTAACTATGTTTTTCCAGTTTGAAAAATGCACAAGTATTATTTAGATTACATTACAAAAAAAGAGTTTTTGTATTTTAGCTATCAAAAAAGTTGCAGAGCAAAGTAGGAAATGTATGCTTCGTCGAGTACTTTTGATCTCATTTTGATACATAATTTGAAAACAAATTTATTCTAATATGTTAAAATATTTCAAAAGTTTACTCATATAAAATATATTTCTCAACGTGCAATCGAAATAAGAATATTCAGACGAAATCTGAAAATTCGAATAAATGGTCTATGAATGCATCAAACATACAAACCATGCGTCATTGAATGATTTAATTACTGTACATGAGTAAGATGTTTGATTTTAATTAAAGAGAATATATTGACTATTTCTTTATAATTTTTTATCAAATAATTATTACTGCGAGTTTGAAGTTGATAAAAGGATTCGATTTTTTGAGTGAACTGCGCAAACGTAAAATTGTATTTAAGTTGTGCAAAGCATCAATCGTGCAATAGTTATGAATTCGAGGTAATTGAAAACTTGATAGAATGAATGTAACCAAAGTGTACTCTACTATACGTGTGAAATTGGGATTAATTAAATTTGAGTTCCTTGGAACAGGTTTATCTAGTCATAAGTACAAATTTGGTTGCAGCATTTTTTTCTCTCAATAAGAGAAAAAAATGTTTGTTTTGTCAAAGAAAGTTTTGAATTATAAGAGACTGAAAGAATGATTTCAATACAGAATAATCATAACATTAAAATAATTTAAGGATTGTGATGCGTACGTAAAATAAATTATCTATATGAGGTCAAAAGTTGAATTAAATGAAACATAAAAATATTTAATGTAACAAATACTTATGACAAAAATCGTATTATAGAAGAGCTATATATTGTTGTACTTTATCGAATAATATGAAAACGCTATTTTTCATCGTTTTAATTATTATTTTTAAGCGAAATGTATCAAGATAACAATGTTATCGATTTGATATGTGATCTGTCATAATTGCTTGAAAAAGAGATAATTAAATGTAAGTTTACTACCGATTGTAAGCTAAAATTGTCTGAAATATTTTCAATAAACGCAGAGAATGATCATATGCTCATTCCACAATTCAGTATCTTATGATTTCAATAAAAATAAAAATCGATCCTAAAGTAGAAGCGCTAACATATCATTGATAACTGTTATTGCAAGACAAATAAATAATTTAAACTACTTTGTACATGTATTTTGATAATTTTTTATTTTACATACTCAGCTGACTTCTATACACAATTATACAATGACGAAAATGAAAATATTTAACATTCCTAGTCGCTGTACGAACCACATTATGAAAACTACTGCATGGTTTATTTCATTTTCAATGAGTATACAACTTTGTTTATAGCAGCATGCATTTTGCAATGAATTTAGTGTAATGTATTATATTCAGATCGATGTTGAACGTATACCATTTGTTTATATTTCGCAAGTTGCACCTGCAAAGTAAGCTCGCGTTGATAATGCGTACGATTAGACATTTATAATCAATTTCAGAAATGATCTTTTTGCGCAGTTCTTCCAGCCTTTATTATTGTTTTATATTCATTTTTTGCTAAGAGTATGCATAAATTTGCGATAAATGCGACTAGGAAAAGATACTTCTCATTTTTTATGAATTTAAAACAAAGGAATTGGAAAAGTTCGGTATTTTTTTAATCGTAACACTTTAATGTAATATTGTTAAAAATCTTCGATGAACATTTTCTTCTTTATAATTATGCCTGATTTATTCGACTATTATCCTTTTGTATTCATTATTTTATTTTTATTTTAATTCTATCATTATTTTTTTTTAATCGTTAATAATATTATATTATTATGCAATATAAAGCTCAAATACACGATGAACATCATGGTAATGATAATCGTTATTTTTTTCTCGAATCAATTTGTACATTGAAAATCGTATACTCTCGATGGTGTACATAGAACGGTACAATCTACTGATATATATAATGTACGAGTAATATCGTTTATTCGTTTAATCATAATCGTATTTATGGATTTTATTTTTCGCACCTGCGTGCCGATTTATCAATGATATATAAATTAATTTTTCTTCATGCCGGGCAATTTCTCCGGAGAGGTGTCCGGTCGTATACTTACTTATTCGTACACACTTGTCTGTCTGTCTCTCTCTCTCTCTCTCACCATTTAAACTAATCGTACTGTAATATTTTTTTCTTATTTCAAGTTGCAGTTTTAGCATCTAGGATAAATTCGTATATTCACTTCACGTATATAATATTCATTACAAAACGCAACGAAAAACTCGTTATCGTTTCATCATCAATGACATATCGATGAGTTTCATTTGTTTTCGCGCCTCGACCGATCGTTCGATTTTTTATCATGCGATCACTGCTTCGTCGTGTTTATACACATATCATCTAACACATAATCTACTTTGAATAATGAGTATCATCGTCGATATCGATTACTGCGTCTTTCGATGCCGATTTTCGATCAAGTCGCGGAAGAATACTTTATTTTCAGCTGCGATAGAAGCGCTACATGCATCGTATACTATAGTAGACATATTGGTTTACAGGTTTGAAATCACGAGCACATTTGAGAATATCACAATATACCAAAATTTGAGGTAATTCAATGCTTGATTTCTATCGATGAGTTTTGCCAATGGGATTTTTCGTGTGAAGCGACAGCGTGCACGTATACTCTGCAAAAAAACTGATTCGTCTTACTCGCGTTTAGTGAACTTGGCGTTATTGCATATATTACGTTGAAATGTAATTTCGTATAAATTATTATTTACTTTTTTTGCCATTTAATTACGAATTTTAGACTCACGTACTTAAAACAATTATAACGAATACTTTGTATTTTCCGTACGTACCGGGCGCTGCTTTGCGTGTATATTTATGTAGTAAAATTTTTGTATATTTATTTTTTATTTATAATAATAATAATAATATATTCGTAATTATATATTATATCTAATATATATAACGTATACCATATGTATTGTATTTACAAAAGATTATATTCAATGTGTATTTTAGTGCTAACATCATGAAACTTCTTAATTACACTATACGGTAAATAGTGTGGGAGTTTTCAACAATGCTCACTCTTGCGAATTCTTCCCTTCATTTATAAAGATTTGTTCTACTTGAAATACTATTTCATTGTTGTCGAAGCGTTGAACACTCAATGATCACATTCATCACCAAAAGTAAATCGAATTTCGTTGACATTGAATGCGAACTACAAAAATCTTGATTCGTTTCGTCTTAATTCGTCGACTGTGGTATTTTTTTAATACTTCAGGGATACAAATAAAATGCACATAATTATCATTTTCAATTGCAATGCAGTAAATCTTCGGAATAAAAAAGAAAACCGACTCCAGCACTCGGCTGCTCGTTGAAAGTCAATATTTTGCACACAAACGAGCATCGTAAAGGTTCTTGACGCAATCGTATACGGCGCCTGAAAGTTGCGAATCACTGCGATGCCCTCGCGAGCTTCGTGCAACATATGACAACAATTTTTCCTTCGCTTCCGTTGCGCAATTTACCATTACTTTGGCTTAGTTTAATAGTTTTATTAGAAAGTTCATAAAGATAGATGGAACAACGCCGCTCGCGCGCGACATCGTGCACCTCGTGTGATTTTTGACACAAAAGTTTATCGGTAATGATTGCACGACTCCCGACTCTCAATTTATACTTTCAAGTCTCGTTTCTATGATTTTCTAAATTCGACACGAGCAAGTTCTATACTCTTTCTCTCTCTCTCTCTCACACACACATACGCACTCGCACATAACGCGTCGCGCATTATACTTCATAAATTATTCTACTCGTATAATACTAAAATGCAGTTCTATTTACAATTTCTCACAGGATACTACGAGCTAATCCGCTCTGGCTCTGGATTTTCAAAAACGAATCCTCTTCGAATTCCTTGAGGGGAGGGGGTAAATTCGGTGACTCGGATGCCACACGCGTGCGATATTTCATCCCACCCGATCTATTTAAAATTATACAATGCGAATATTACAAATTATCGTAGTAATACTAAGCGCGATCGTACTCTGTAAAATACTCGTCGTATCAAATTCTATTGCAAATATTCATCGTGTCGAAATCGCATCGAGGCGATTTTACAAGATAATACAGGAGCTTGGGTAAAGTCCTTGAAGGTGATCCGACTCTCTCACTACAGCTGCTCAAAAAGTCAGGTAAAATTCGGCCGACACTGGCCTTAGGAAAATTAGCAAAACAGCGATAACCAACAGAGTCGTTATCGCGCGCACATAGGAAACATACGAGTCGATTTCCGACGGCTAAACTTAACTTGGTCGATATATACGTACATAAAAACGAAATAAAGGAACAAGCAATGATGTACATAATTTATACATAGTAACACAGAGCCAGCTTGGCTCGATCGCCTCAATAAACGGAGCTGTACTCGATGTCGTGGCCGTACTGAGGCGGTGGCCCGTGCGGCTGAGGACTGTATTGCTGCTGCTGCTGTTGTTGCTGCTGCTGTTGCTGTTGCTGTTGCTGCTGGGAGGTCGCGTCGGAGGCGCGCCGCCTGAGGGCCGCGATGCTGTGGGCGCCTCGCCAGTCGGTGGCCTCGCCGGCGCCGTTCTCGCAGGCGCTCTGCTGCGCCTGGCCGTTGTTGCTGGCCCCGGCGGGCCCGGCCGAGCCACCCGAGGCGCTGCTGACGTTGCCGCCCGCGGGCGAGCTCTGGCCCCCGCAGCCGCCGAGGCTCGAGCCGAGGACCACCGCCGCTCCGGCCTGCTGCTGCTGTTGCTGCTGATTCGAGCCGCCCGTCGCACCGCCGCCCGAGACCAGCGACGAGCCACTCGGGGGCGAGCCCCGCGACGCCGACATGTGTACCCCACCTGTGTGGCACAAAAAACATCGGATGAGATTGGGAAATTTAATAATGTGTTCATAAAAGTTTGAGATCGTCGAAATAGAGGGAGAAGGAGTTTATGCAAAGAGGAAATTTTGACGCTACCGAGACGCTCGGTATCCGTTAATGAAAAAAAGTGTAATTCTGACACTTTCACGAACAACACAAATAGTACCACGGACGAAATGGCTTTGAAGTTGATGAAAAAGCCGCGCGTTACACATATTTAGTGTGGGGAGCTTCGATCGACTCTCCATTGCGAGTACGAGCCGACCGATAATTCCGTGGCTAAATATTATTCGAGCACGAGTCAAGATGGAGAGTCAATTATTGACGCGATGAGCTTAGTAAATTTATTGCCTCTATCCTATAGCAAAACGGACTCGACTTATCCCGAGGGCCGATTTAATGTGCGCACGTATTATAAAATAGACATTACATTACCGACACGCGCATGGCTCGTTGCTGCTTTGATTCGGAGCTGCGCAATAACGAAACCTATCACTCCTTTTCTCGCTTTTTCACACACTTACAGGTATATTGTAAAATGCTAAAATGGTATGAAAATTACGAATGTAATGTCAAACCCATATGGATCGGGGAAACTCACGTTCATATAAATTGTCAACGAGAGTTTCAGCTCCACTGCTCGCGGTGCAAAAATTAGAAGAATAGCTCGAAGGATCGGGAGAATTTGGATTCGCGCTGTGGCCCCCGGTGGTGCGCTCGCGTATATAGTTTGGCAAATGCCTACTACTGCAGCCACGTGCAAATATTGACCGTTCGACCGAGCAGTGAGCTCAAATACAAATTGCAAATGTTCTCCTCGCGTCGACGAGGAGACGACGACGACGATGATGCGTGCGTGCAATGCAGTGTAGTGCAAGTAATTCGTGTACGAGCCCGAGAGAGACAAGAGGGACACGAGCTCGACCGCTTGAGGCTCGTGCAAATACAGTACACATATACGGAGGAAAGTTAGCCCGGGCAATTAGGTCCTGGGCATTGTTTGACCGTAAAAACAGTTTCTGCGCGCGGCGCGGCCCGTTGTGTAAGCACAGCTCGGTGTGTATCGCTCGCTGTGCGCGTCCAATATTCGGTGGCGTTTCGAACGTTCGGCTTAATTGGCACCTCGTCCGTGCGTACACACACCCACGCTAACACACACACGTAAACTTGCACATCGTCGGATAGAAAAGTTCCTCGCGCTGCTCGATGATCTGCCTATACGCGCGAGTGCGATATAATACACGAGTGTTTAAGCGCGCAAGTACGTGTACGTGTGCATAACGCAATGCTCGTGAGCGATCTTTTGGATCGGGTGCTAATCATTATCAAAAAGCGAAAAATAAGCCTTGCTCTAAAAGCTCGTTCAACGCGCAGCTAGTTATAGTTGTACCGAATTTATGGACGCTACAAAATGTCAAACAACAGATCGTAACTTGTGTGTGTATATAAATGTTTGATACACCAAGTTGTCCGATCGTTTGGTCGGATTGTCACTCCGACACCGTCCGAGTATCGGAAAATTTATGGAAACATTCTTGTAACTACAGTTTCTGCCACACGGGGGGATATTTTCCACCGAGCGTCGTCGGGCTGCAAGCGTTATGGAGCTAAAACTATACGGGTTTGATAATTTACAAGGATGTCGCGTGGCGCATGAATATTCATGATTAGCGCAAATTGTTGAAATTAAATCGACGAGACGCGCGCGTCGATGTACATACGACCCGTTATTGTCGTTGCCTTATGGGCTTTGTGGACAGGGCGCGTACGCGGAACCGCCGCAGCCGCGCGCTAAGCTACTGCTGCTTTTTAGTAAATCATAAAATGGTAATGGCCGTTGCGGCTATTTTTACCGACTGCACACTATACGGCCGAGCTTGTTGCATGCAACTACACCGCGATGGGCGACTCGTGCGCTACGACCGAGGAAATTTGCCATCTAGATTCGATCCTTGAAAAAGGATGAGATTTTCTGTGCAGGACAACGTTACGTTATACGTAAGGTTGAAGAGTATCGACGATCCGGGGCGTATTCGCAGCTCGTAGAAAGTTTTTGAGTACGCGGACGAGAGACAAAACAAGCGACTTTAGATACACGTTGTATGTATACAGGCTTGAGTTAGGTTGCTTATAGCTCGGCGCGCGCGAACGAGAGCCGAGCCGAGTCCGAAGCGCAACACGATATCTCGCACCTAGGTGCGACTACCTTGAGCATCCTGTGATCACATCTCGGCAAATCTTCCAATGTCTCTATTTTCTTTCTCGCTCTACCTATGCTTATACATACATACGTATGTATAAGTGCAGACACGTATGTACAAAATGACATACAAGCAGAGTGGCTCGAAGACTATACCAGCTCCCCGTCCTTATTACATTTTTACCCGTCTCCTCCGAGCCAACGAACAGGTTTAGTTAAATCTCTATCTCGACGCATTGTTTAGCAACGATCGATCCTCTCCCGCTGCTTCGACAAAAATCCAACGCTCTCTCGATGGTCATAAGTGGAATATTTAAATGGAGGCACACCGAGAGAAAAAAGTCACGCCGCAGCTACAAAGAGTATACAGCCATCGCGAAAAGCGATTATAATAACAACAAGAAAATTCGTTTAACGCGCGGAGAATAAAGTCGGCAAACGATATGGAGGCAAGCTCGAGAGAGCTCCGGAGTCGACGTCGGAGGGTGCAGGCGAGCGCAGAGCTTTTCAGCGCCGACAATCAATAAGTTATTCGTTCCCGTATCTGTATAAGCCGCGCGCGCGTTTATATTCTCTCTCTTTGCGAGAGAAGCAACTGCTGTGTAGCGAGTGTATATGGCGAGGGAGGAAGGACGTGTCTGTATATAGAGGAGGGCGCAGGTACGCCGCGCCTGCGCACGCTTCACTCCGTACTGTGTTTTTTTTTCAATATATCTCTCGTTGCGCGGGCACAGGTAAACGACTCGTCGAATATTCGCTCGCGGCCCAGCTCTGTATATTTCGAGGCTCGTTTTGTTTTTCTCGGCCCAAGGCCGCAGACAATGTGTATAAGTAGGCGTCAAAAAAGAATATAATATCCGTGTAGTAGACTCGCAAGAGAATAACTAAAGATCTAGTTAAAAAGTACAAACAGTTCTCACGGCTCGTCGATATTGGGTCGCGGGCAGAGAGCAATGACGATACGCATTATCTCGAGGCTTATATTTGGAAACTCAGCTCCGAGTCGTCGTCGTCGTCGAAGGTATTTGCAAATTTCGCCATTCGCCGCCGCACACGCATACGGAGCAGCAGCGAGGCACGAGAGTCTCGAGGCAAAAAAAAAAATGTTTTCACACGTGGCGACGACTTTTTTCCACGCTAACACCTCGGTGTAAAGTGAGGAGCTCGTGCGCGGCTACCATACGCGCCACTAGCCGCGCAGCGCAGCAGTTCAGCAGCTTCGTACAATAATAATGCGTATACAGCTATAGCCGAGCTAGTCATCCTCCACGAGAGAGAATAGAGCGATAAGCAGGCTTTGTTGCATATTATACATCCAAGGCGCTTAATATGGAGGTGCAGGTGGATACTTACCGAGCGAGTTGAGGCCGTAGGTGGCTTGGTAGACGGTCTGCGAGGGGCTGCTGATGAGCTGGCCGCTGTTGCCGAGGCCCAGACTCGAGCCCAAGCTGCCGGCCGAGCCCTGCTGGCCGAGCTGGCCCAAGCTCTGGCCGAAGCCGCCCATTCCCATTCCGCCTTGGCTCAGCTGACTCAAACCTGCGAGGGGCAGTCAACGCACACGTTCGTTATATCCGTTCGACGATGATACTAATGCAGCTAAAAAGTACACGCGCGCGAGATTCTATCTTTGCTCTCCCAACACGACCGACCAACGATCGATCCGTATACCCAAGAGATGCTAAATTATGAACGACGCGATAATGCGCGCGCGCGGCGATACACGAGTGCACAATGCTGCTGCGAGCTTTCATCGGGGCTCACGAGTTTCGAAAAGAAGCGAATTTTCATATAATTGTATATGATGCAAGCTCTTGCGCGATCTCGCGCCACCGCGTTTGCCGCGAGCTCGGCCGTCGAACCGCAGTCAATCAGCGGCCATATAATTGATTGAATCGATCGGCCGTAACGATGTTTATTTTTTTACGCGAGAGTGCAGAGCGTGAAAGAGAAGCGAATACAAGGCAGTAAATCATCATCATAAGTTAAACTCCGAGTCGGAGAATCGCGAGTATATAGGATATAGGTATAGGCAGCTCGAGTGCGATTTTATGGGGGATATTATTGCAATACCATTATGTATATAGGATATACACTCGGCAACAAAATTATCGCAACAAAAAAATTCATCGAAATTTTGTCGATTTTCAAATGCTTCTATCTTGGGCTAGATTTATCGTATCGACACGCTTTTTTTTTTAATTTCTTGGAAATTTTGTCCTCTTTAAATCCATATAAATTAAGATAAGATTTGAGTTAATGTTGAGTTACCAGTAGTATTTGAGCGTGACCCTAAAAATTACTGAAAAAAAATGACTGTTTGAACGTGTACCAGTACCACAGTGATTTTTTTATCGAAATCTAACATACATCATCGCAAAGTGCTCTTTTTAACGAGTAATTTAAAAAAAAAACGACCTCTCTACGATTTTTTTAACGCCCTGTAAGTCGATTTGAAGATACCATTTAAAGTACGTAAAATCCCCCGTTTACCTGAAATCAAGACGATTTTCTGGGCATTTTGCGTACATAAACCGGACCTTCAAATCGACCTACAGGGCGTTAAAAAAATCGTAGAGAGGTCTTTTTTTTTTAAATTACTCGTTGAAAAGAGCACTTTGCGATGGTGTATGTTAGATTTCGATANAAAAAATCGTAGAGAGGTCTTTTTTTTTTTAAATTACTCGTTAAAAAGAGCACTTTGCGATGGTGTATGTTAGATTTCCATAAAAAAATCACTGTGGTACTGGTACACGTTCAAACAGTCATTTTTTTTCAGTAATTTTTAGGGTCACGCTCAAATACTACTGGTAACTCAACATTAACTCAAATCTTATCTTAATTTATATGGATTTAAAGAGGACAAAATTTCCAAGAAATTAAAAAAAAAAGCGTGTCGATACGATAAATCTAGCCTAAGATAGAATCATTTGAAAATCGACAAAATTTCGATGAATTTTTTTGTTGCGATAATTTTGTTGCCGAGTGTATATCGTACCTGGAGCCATTCCCCATCGATCGGTGGGCGCGTGAAACATGCCGGCGGCGCCGCACAAGTCCGAGCTCATCGCGCCGAAAGGCGGCAGGCCGTGCGACGGCAGCAGAGCACCTGGCGATCTGAACACGTTCGTCGTCTTCTTGCGCTTCTTCCATTTGGCTCGGCGATTTTGAAACCACACCTGCGCACACACACACACACGTCAACAATTTGCATCGTCAGTTTGCATTTATAATTTCTCTATTCGATCATATGGATTTTGCATTATTTATCGAACTATATAATTAAAAATTATTCATGATATAAATGAGCTCAGAAGAGCTAATTGTGTCGGAAGTAACGCGCATGACACTGAAAAGCCAAAAAAAACTTCAAGAAAATGACACTTTTATCAAGTTGGAATCGAGCCAAGAATTAACGAGGTTTCGGATCGCTGAAATCAAAAGTTATACCAGCTACAGGCAGTCATTACCATTTCTCATTATTCATACAATTGCGATGACGCGTGTGCGCGCGGTCAAAAGAGTGCAACACCTTCGACACTCTTTAATCGAGTTGTATCAGTTGATTACGCGCGAATATAATGTCTGCACGTATATATTTATAAGTAGTCGAGCAGAGTCGGAGATGCTATATGTGGGAGCGAGCGGGTCTATATAGCGGGGCAAAGGGTAGGTACATAATAATACGAGACGGTGTCGGTGGCGGCGGCCTGTTAGCTATTAGCCCGTGCTCTGGCTGCTCTGGCCTGCTATATGCTCGCTCGGTGGCGGCGGCGGCGCTTTACGAGCTGTTGATTCCGACCACGTAGTGCGGCGGCCTCCTACCCTCGCGCGCGAGCTATAACATAAGCTGCTCCGCTGCTGCTGCGGGCTCTCCCGGCGACTTGATTTATTGATATCGCATGCAAAGCCCACTCGCTCCCGTGCGCGCTCCTTGCTCCGGCTCGCATCCGCACACACACACACACACACACACATACACACACAGAGTTATATATACACGCGCATAGGCCATAGCTGAACGCAGCCAAGGTCCTGTATACCGAGCAAATCTCGGCTCTCTTTAGCCGAGCATTACTCCGGCCGAGGTGTACAACTGTTATGCAGCCATAAATTAGTGCTTTAGCATTAATTCGCGCTCCAGTTTGCTCGCGCCACGTCCAGCCGAGTATGCTATTTGTCTCTTCTTTCAGCGATTCCAGACTTGCGGTTTTCCACGTGCAAGAGAGCTGCGTCTCTCGATATATCGCCTACTTAATTTTCTAGCCGAGCCTATCGCCTATGTCTCGTTTACACGGAGTCGGCGTGATTTTTGCTTTTTATATACGAGACCAAGCTCGATCGAGCATACGGCACGACTGCGCCTTTTGTAACGATGACGTGCAGTCCGTGGGGGGGGTGAAGCAGGCCTACTGTCTTATATATGGGGTGAATAGATAGGCACTGTGGCGTACCGCATACAATATTTACGTACAATGGTACGCACCGACGCTTCCACTAGCGCCAGTCCATTATATTATCTTGTATCGTGTTCGTTAATTCAGCTGCTATTTCTGATCCATCGCTAACCGACTCAAAGCTCGCACTCATGCACCTTTTATCGTCATCGCGGAGTCGTGATTTTCGACGCGTGCACGAGCGTCCGTCGATCGACCGGTCGGGAAGCGACTCCGAGACATTCTATTCATAAATAGATGCAGTACAAGCTGCTCCGTCAGGACGATCATCGCCGTATAGTTATAAGCGCACAAGAGCGCGATGAATTAAAATCGATGCGTCACGAGCCGGCTAACTCGGGCTTCGTAAGCTCGCGCACGCGGCCCTGTCAAAGGTGTGGCTTCTTTAGCCATAGTACGTTTCTTCTTTATTGCATCGCGTAACGTATGTATCTCGTCCCTCGCTGCCGATGTATGTGCAGTACGCGCCATTCTCTGTATATCGCATATTGTGAGCGAAGCTCTCCCGCGGATACCTATTATCGGTGTTTTCTCATTTCCTCGCTTTGCAACAGGCCCGACTTACGATCGTTTACTTTTTTTCTCGCTTCTATTTCTTTGCGCGCGTGTCTGGTTCCGATTGGCCGGGTGTGGTTAGCGAGTTCATATATAGCTCCGCGCACTCGCAACTCGACAAGTTCAACACGCAAATTCATCTTTCTCTCTCTCCTTCACTCTTGATTCTCTTTGTAGAAATTCATTTTTCCAACTGCGCTACTCGTGCTACTCGCCAACTATAAGCCTTTCTTATTGCTTTTAATATCCAGTCGACAAATAAGCTGCGCGCGTAAAAAAGTCCGAGTCGCGCGCCAGAGGACTGGCGCCACAATAACTTAAATGAGTGAAGAATGTGAAAACAAAGCGGAGCCCAACGAGAGAAAAAAAAATAAGGGAAAACGAGCAGCTTCTGTAGTTGCACGAGATCTGCGAGCTGCGAGCTCGGCCGCAAGAGCCAAGCGCGAAAAGTTAACTTGGCCATTTGTTCCGTGCCCGCGTCAATGTCTGCTGCGCGTACGGTGCTATAGGCCAGGGGCAAAGGAGAGAGAGAGAGAGAGCGATAAAGTTGAACTTCTGCGCTTCTACGTCGGAGCTGCACACACACATATATAGGCAGTACACCGGCGGTGCTTGCAACGACGAGTCCGACTCGGCGAACCGCAAGTGTCAAGGGATCGAAATTTAGCTCGCTCGAGCGATCTTGCCGAGCTACCATCGACTTCGCATATACCTATATGTACGTATAGGAACGAAGCCGTGCGAGGAAAAAGAAGTGACGTGGATGGTTTGTGGGCCATCGCAGCTGGCTGACGTTCAGACAAATGGCCTTCGCCGCTTCTAACGTGCCTCATAATGCTGCCGCGCTGAATCGATTTAGGATTTTCAGCCAACGCATCGACCTCTATCACCCGGGGAGGATTCGTTCGGTCCGAAGCAAGATGCCATTGAAGGATCTTTATCCCTTTTCTCCTCCTCCTCCTCTAGCTCCTGTTCGTCCTCCCCTACAGGGCTATATAGTTCCTCGCCCGGCACACCCTCGCCCAGCTCACGTGCCGTGTACTGCTTCTGCTACTTTCGATGTACGAGCTCCGACGCCCGACGAGTCAATGCTTATTGCGTCGATAAATTTTATGGCTCGAGCTTTAAGCCCGAGCAGGAGACTCGCTGCGGAAACTCGGATGTATTATATTTGCCGCACGCACGAATTTTTCTTACCGCTCAACCGCTGCTGCTGCTTCGTTCATTTTTCAGCACCGCGCGACGCATCGTTTTTCTCTCGCACTTTTCGACCGATGAGCGATATAACCCAACGACTACTCGACGATTTTATGGCTTATTACGTCGAATCAATATCGTATACGCATCTCGAAGTTTAAGGATTTATCAGATTTCAAAAGAAAAAAAAGAGAGAGAGAGAGAAATCCCGGAGTCAAGGAATTGCTTGCTCGAGAGTGACTGCTGACCTCGGAAAAATACGAAAATATCAGACCTAAGCCACAATACGCACACGTATTTACCAAGACATAATGAAAATAAATACTGTATAAAGTTGGCTTGCGAGTTGCGCGGCGAGTCGGGCAATAGCCTCTGATTGATGATCGCCGTCGCTGCACATACACACACACACACACCAGCAGCAGCAACAGCAGTGAGACTGTCGAGAGAGAGAAAGAGAGAAAAAGAGACGACCTGCCAAGGGGATGGGATCGTTAAGCGAGCGAGGCAAAAGACGCATTATCTGCAAGCCCCATCGGGGACCACCAACCCCGCCAGTGAGCTCGTCGGTCCTTTTGCGATGGATCTGCGCATTGCCACTTGCAGCTTACTTATTCACACACGTGCGCGCGTGAGCCGATTATACTCGCGCACAGTCTAATTCGCGCGGATGTGCTTTATTGGCTCACCTGATTTTTGATTTGTCATGATGGTCTACGCGTAAAAGCGTTCAAAAAAAAGTTCTTACATATAAAGAACTTTGCTAATTATTTTCTTATACAATTATTTTGACTTTGTCACTTGCAGATTTACAGATTTAGATACTCGCCATCTAGCGGCGAAGACTAAATTTAACTATGCCTTAATTTTCATTAAATTTATAAATTATTATCAAAACGTCAATTGATAATCAAAATTAAATCCTCCTTTCTTGATTTTAATATAAAAATTAACATATGTGATTACATTACCATGAATTGTTGTGTAATTTATGCAACAAAAATAAAACAAAACCGATACATTAATCGTTAAAGCGAATTTCATATAAAAATATTCGTAAAGGTCAATTATAATTAGGTATACCGTTAAAAAACTTTAATTTAACGAGATTTAAATATGAAATCCGAGATTACATGAAACCAATCTAAATTTTGTTTAAACATATTTTTAAATAAAATCTTTGTTGAAAATGTATTCATAAGTTTAACATTCAAATTTTAACATATTGATTGAAAGCTAATGCATGATTACTGATTTAGTTTTTGGATTAATGGTCCCTAAAAATTTATAAAAATTCAATCATTATTAAAACCAGTCTGCACCACTAGATGGCTAGAACCTTTGTAAATAAATCTGCAAGCGATCGAGTCAAAGTAATTGTATATAAATAAAAGTGAGGTTTTAAAAATGTATATATTGTCATAGGATTCTGAGTTGATTTTTTAGTTTATGAAGAGAGATTGTTTAGTGCATGAAGAAAACTAAATTAAAATTAATGCGAATTTAAATGCCATATAATTCATGAAAATATGTTTCTGTGGTGGAAAGGCATAACGACTTAAGTCCATTTTTACGGAAATCGATATTATGGTGAAAAACAACTATACGTAGTGTCTACTTTAATGTACAAGGGTCAGAATAGACGAATATAGCTTCTATCGTTAGTTTCAGCATTGTGCATAACATAACGACTTAAGTCCATTTCGCGAAAACCGGGGAAAGGTAAAACGACTTAAGTCCACCTTTGTGAGATCCAAAATGTTATAGAGAGTCTACTTTGATTTGAAAATGAAACAAAATGATATTCAAACATATAAATAGCTCTCACATTCTTCGAATGTTGTGAATTTCACTATACGATTGGTACATTTAATACGCTAGGGGTCATTTTCGCGATTTTCAGTTTGGCCTTTTTTCGTTGCAAGACTTGAGATCTGACACCAGTATAACGTTAAATGAGCTATTTTATC